CATGTGGCACTACATTATATTCAGACAAATGTTATTAGAATCATGTAAATATGCTTCAAATTATTGTTGCTCTATATCCATGAAATTGATGCCTTTTTAGTTATTTATGTAAGTTAATTGTAATTTAGTATTGAGATTCATACAGTTAGTGATAAATAATTAGTAATTAAGATAAATCTCTTGTACATAAACTGAGTTAAATATAATAATGGAAATCAGTTAAGATATCAGTTATGTATTTGGGATTGATGCTTCTATAGGTCTTCTTAGAGCTTGTTGCATATCTGCATGTCTTTGTCTAAAATTATTAACCACTTTCCTTTTTCTTTATAACCTCTATATATTTATCTTGCGCTGTATTTTTATATATCTTTACAAAATATTTATTAATCTTTCCAGGCTATATGTCTATTGGATAAACTGTATGATACATTCTTCACGCCGCCGCGCGTAGCGCATATCACGTACTTCACTAAACATTTTATCAAGATTGAATTTTTGGACAAGTATGAAATAACATTTATAAGAAAAAGTATGTCTTTTAACTCACTAATAAACAAACAACTAAATTGTTATGTTCAATTCCAGGTTGTGCAGACCTATTTACAAGGAATTTGATGAATGGCCAGAGATATCATTAGAACCAGACCCTCCAAGAGAAAAGAAGAAAGAAACACCAGAGAAAATTGTTGCCAATAATCCAAAAGATATTGCCATACAAAAGTAAGTCGAAGTTGTTCTCAAGTGTATTATTTATTGCATGAATTGCCATGTTTTTATAGTAAACATGTTTTACAGAATGACGCGTAAAAGTCGTCCAAGAATCAAGGAGAAGGAAGAAAAAGAGGCAAAGGGTGGCTACTGTGAGATGTGCAACGCAGACTACGAAGACGCGACACTACACCGGCGCTCCCCGCACCACCTCGCCTTCGTGCGCAACCACACCAACTTCCTCGCGCTGGATTCACTCATCGGCGCTGGCACTGATGTGGCCACTTTCCTTGACAAAGCCACACCCATTAACGGTGAACGGCGTTCGCTAAGAAAAATGTGCAACGGTGACAGCGACATACCCAAAAGCAAACGGTCGAAACGATCCCAGTCTCCAGACTCCACAGTCAATGGTAACCTCAGTCCAAGGCGTAACGGACTTGTAGAAGATGAGAAAAAACATAATACCCGGTGCAGTAAACGAGCCAGTGAGGCAGCCACTGAAGACCGACAGTACTACAAAGTAGTGGGTGTCAGCACGAAGCTAAGGTCGAGTGGCGGGTTCTCGAATAAAAGGAAAGATTCGTCGCCCTCATGTAACGGCACTAAACCCCTAGTCGTTAAGTTCAGAAAAGTACGGCGCTCAGAGTTATCTGTGCTCAGTGACGAAGCGGAACAGTTCATGTTTCCAAAACGCGCTAGTTCCACAAGTTCTACATCTTCCGACGATGATGACAAAGAACTGAGTTCGCGAAGAAAAACTACGCCGCCGCCACCACCACCACCACCCGTCGAAAGGCGGAGACAAGCGCGGCCACTCGCACTGAAGGAAGAGTCTTCTGAGGAAGACAGCTGGCCCGAAGATAAGCGAAGGCGAAAAAAAAGAACGCCTGCTGTCACTAAACGAGTGCGCCGGGTGCCTTGCAAAGCACCGAGCACGGAACCACCTCCTGAGCCTCCTGAGGTTGTGGAAGAAATAGTGCCTGCAGAGCCTCCTGCACCACCCGACGCCGAAGTAAGTCCTTTGAGAGAAGAACCTGTCGAGCGATGTATGAAGTGGGAAGATGGAAAGCTAAAATACACTCCAGCTGTAGAGCAATTAGAATTTGCCTTTGAATCTGTGCCACATAGTGAGCCTTGGTTTGAAACCTTCAAAAGACAAGATGAGGACAAAGCGCTTGCTAAGAATATACCTCAATTCTTTGGTAAGTTTTAGGAAATAACAGATGTTACATATTTATAAAAATGTATAATTAGTAACTAAATTTTATATAATCGTCTGTATAATTAATTTTTATTCTGTTACTTGTTACAGCATTATATTCAAAATCGCCAAAGTTACCATATGAAATTGGTCAGTTACCACCTTTGAAGCCAAATTGCTGTCCACTAAGTGACTTGGTAAAACGAGAAGATAAACCAGGACCGTCACGGTCTTACGGGACGCGAGGGATGAAGAAACAGAAAATCAGAAAAAGAACGGCTGCACTGCTAGCGCTAGAGGGGCACCCTCGGAAATCCCCCCGCGAGCATGCATCTACCCTGGCCATTCTAGGCTCGGCTGGTTTGGTGCACCGGCGGAGACATGCTGATGACAACAAGTCCACCGCGTCGGAAGACACGATCAGCGACACGCACAGTAATGCCAAAGTTGATCCTGTAATGTCTGAAACTCAAGAGGCATCTGAGAGGTTACAACAATTTTTATCTGAAGTGTTCGAGGACGCGGCGGATTACGACGTATCAGACGAAGTGATGGACGGTGAACCGGCTGTCACCACGTCAACTAACATGCTCGACGTGTCCAGTATGGTGTCCGAGTGTGAGAACTGCGATCTGATTAGAAATGAAATCAAAGAGGCAACCGACCGACCCAAAGGCAGACGCGGCAAATTTAAAAAGAAGAATAGAACGGGCTGGCCTAATAAAAAGAAGCATACTAAGAAGAGTTCCAGGACAAGCAGTGTAGAGTCTGAAAACAAATTAGACAGCAGTTTAGATCGGTCGTCAGCAGAGCCTCCAGATGACGATACCACACAGGACACGATCAGCGAGGAAGATACTAATTTATCTGAGACTGAAAAAGAAGACAGAACTATATTAGAAAAATCAGAGTTTGACTCGAAAGATAAAACTCTGACAGAGGACTCTGTAACTGAGAAATGTGAACCAATGGACATATCTGATAGCAAAGACAAGACTTTACAGGACTTAAAGATATCAGAAGAAAAATCTAAGGATGAGAAAGAGGAACGAAAACTACGTTCAGAGACTGATGATAAGGATATTAAGAAGAGAAAACGGGCGTTGCACGGGCTGGGCGACTGGATGCAACCAGTAGTGCGCGTGGCCCGAGTGGACCCCGGTGCGGCGCGCCGTCTGCGGTCAGCGGCGCGACCGCGGTCCAACCGGTACAGATAGCGCACGGCCCGCCGCTGCCTCGCCAAACAACGATAATTCCTCAAATGGACTCCATTGTTTCGCCAAACCTACCGTCGAACAATCAGTAGTTGTGATCGCACTTCGGAGCTATAATAGCTGCGTAGACTGCTCGCCGATGACGCGTAGATTATAATTTTGTTGTTTGTTATTTATTTTGTAAATAGCCTGTTGTTGTCTGTGTCAGCATGAACTTAGCCATTTTTGGCAGATGAAACTGGGAGTATCAGTATTTAAATTGTTTTTGTTATTAAGAGAATAATATATCTCGAGGCTGCGAACTACAGAACGTTGTGTACATAGTGGTGTAATATATTATGTGAGGACTTGGACCTATGTGTGTGTGTAAGACCAGTGCAGTGAGTAGACGTGGCGAACTTAGTCTGTATATAAATGTTATTGTATGCTTAGAAAGTATCTTTCTTTTTTAAGATAAATGGAGATGCAGGAATAAAGTTACTTCAGCCACTCGTGTATCTACCACTAAATGTAACTACATAAATATTATATTATTTCTGCAATAACTGCTGTCCATAGACAGAAACTATAGAAATATTATAAATGTGTTTTTCTCAATGTTGTCTCAGTGTCTACAGTTAGAAATAGTTAGTATTCGATTCCACTTTTTGCTGGAGCTTCGTATTTCTGACCCCATCTCCTTTATCTATGTGAAATTTCATCAAAATAAAAATGTATAAATTACTATGATTCTCAGTTATTTGTTTCATTTAAACCTATATACAAAAATATATTGTTGAAAAAAAAAATTCCAAATCTATAAATAAAATAATATCATTTTCCTTGATTTGAATATAATCAGCAGACGTTGAATCAGATTATTGATTTATATGCAAGTTCCCATCACGCGCATACTATCCTATGGTGCAAGCAGAAAGAACGCCTAGCCTGGCTAGAATGTTGCACAAGTTACGAGAGAATAATTTTGTTTTGCAAGAGGACATCATGTCACCAAATGCATTATTGTTTGTGAACCTTCTGTTGATGAGCAACATACACCTATACCCTACGAAGCTAACTAGAGGGCACAGACGCTATGCAAACAAAGTATATTTTTATCAGTTTCCGTTGTACTGAACACTGATAAGAATAGTGGCTGAAGTTAGTTAATCTTTGTAAAAAATGAGTAGCCCTTTAGATCACCGTGAAGCAATTTCAACGCTTTAGTCCATTGTTTTGTATCTGACTGTATACTGAAGTAGAACATACAAACGAGTACTTGATTGGAATTGCCTGAATTTTAACGATTGTTCAAGAAAACGAAGTGTAAACCTTAATTGATTTACACAAAGTTATTATAACTGAAATAATAAAATATTGTCTAAAAGGTAGGCGTATTTTAAGACAACGCCATCTAGAAGCTTACTAATAACTTCCATTATTTATATTATTTACTCAAGTGAAGACATGATGCCCTCGTTATCATGTTTTCAGCAGTAAAGGTCAATCAGTCTGGGGCCAACATTTTCACAATACAGTAAATATTCAATTAAATATGCAAGTTACAGCAGAAGTGGTGTTTCTTACTATTGAAGATTACTTTGGAAGATTTTATTTAGTGTGGGCCATTTTTGGTAGGATTTTATGTATTCTAGTAGCGGCACTGTCTAAAAAAGGTTGAAATAAGAAAAAAATAAAGTTTGCTATATTAACATGTTATTTTCAACTGAAAGTTATTACAAGCAATAATTCTTCCACTACAGACAAAAAAGACATGGCAAATGCAATATAACATCAGTTGCTTTTCATAGTATGACTAATGCTAAAATATTGTACTATAATTTAAACAGTTGATTTGTTCGGGAATTGATCTGAACCAAATGAAAAACAAATGATCTACTCTAACAGGCATATAATCAATAAAAACAGAATTTACACTTTTTACATCTTCAGATGTGGATGTTGGATCAGCATAACTTACATTGTTCATTCTTATTAGAATTGTACATGTAAAATAATGAAACTAAACCCTAAGTTCAATGCCTTTACATCTTAGGCCAGTTGTATTCTAAAACACTGTAATTTATCTAGAACTGGATTTTCAACAGGCATTATGTACAACTGGCCTTAAATTGCAGACAATGCTAAATGTTATTCTCAATTTATTCATAAATATCCTCTTTGTCAGCGATGTATTGGATAATGTCTTTAGGTCTAACCAGCCTCTCTGCATCCCCATCGGGAATTTCAAATCCAAATTCATCTTCCATTGCCATTATCACCTCCACATGATCCAGGGAGTCCAGACCCAGATCATTCATGAAGTGGCAGTCTACACTCAACTGAAATAGATAATAACTTGGTTAATATTAACATTCACTAAATTATATTTAAAAAGTCAGCAAGCATAGACAACACACACAAGATAAGTACTATTTGTAATAATTTTAAGTAAAGGCTACCTTTTCGGGATTAATTTTGTCATAAAGTTGAAGTACAAGTAGCACTCTACTTTTAATAAGTTCTAATGTGAGTGGGGGCCCGCCGCTGTAGTTGCGGACACTGATATTCTGGGCCTGAAACAGAATATTATAGAAATAAATGTTATGTCTGTACCTTACAACAACTGAGTTTGTCGTATGCCTTGCAAACTTTCAGCACTCGTTCTTCTATTTCCTGTGGCGAGGGCTTGTGGAAGCCTCCTGTGGTGTACTGTTGTGTTCGCTGTACCTAAACAATTTGGGGAACACTGTACACATTTGTTATGCAATAAGATTGAGGTTATAAATTTAACAAAGATTTACTTGGAGCAAACTTTGGATTTAGATAGTGTTAGTGTTCTCACTAACACTATTATCTTACAAATAAAGTGCCTTGTGGGCAAAATATCACGTTGTATTGACTTAGAGAATCCTTACCCCATATTGATGATACTGAGTGTTGTACGCTTTAAGGGCAGCGTTTATTGTGCTAAACTTCTGCTGCAGAACAACTGTTGAAAGTCGGCATACTACCGGTGTTCTAAAGGAAGCAGAGCTTCGTAATAATCCTCTTAGAGCACTGCGGGCAATATTTGCAGCAGCCATTTTCCAGACTTCCAAATGATTTGATAATTCATAGACAAGCCAGACAAAAGAAGAGAATAAAGTCACAGATCAATAATTGAATATGAAACGTCAAAATATACAAAATTTATCCAGCGACAATTTTATATTCTACAATATTATCGGAGCAATTAAAAGCAATAATACTGTTATTATCATTGATAAAAATGAAATCAATTGCATCAAAGTAAAAAATAATTAAATAGGAACCTATTTTAGTATCATTTATGTCGCAATCTCATTGCTTAAAGTTTGAAATGGTTAAATTTTGTCTTTGACACGTCGTCTTCTGTCAACTCGACCTACACCTGTCAGTTTGTCATTTTTCATTGTTTTTGTGAACATAAGTTGAAATGGATCTAATGTATTTACACAATTAGAAATCAAGAAAAATGGGTAACGCTGACACAAAATTGAACTTTAGGAAAGCTGTCGTTCAGCTTACGTCAAAAACACAGGTAAGTGTCTGGAATTTGATATAATATAATAAATTTACGAAGTCGATGAGTATTGATGAAATGATTTTATTTTAGCCTATTGACTCTGGGGACGATAGTTTTTGGGATCAATTCTGGTCAGAGAGTGTGACTAATGTCCAGGATGTGTTCGCACTGGTGCCTGGTGCAGAGATCCGTGCATTACGAGAAGAATCTCCCAACAATCTCGCGACACTAGTTTATAAGGCTGTAGAGAAACTGGTGAAGATGGTGGACAGCAGCTGCAGGACGCAGAGGGAACAGCAGACAGGTAGCACTTTACCAATATTGTAGTAGTAATGAGAATACAGACAATATCAGTTTTATACTTTGCATACCATAGTTCTTACCTTTTCTTGTATCTTTTTAATAAATATTAAATTCCATAAAATGGGCATCCAGTAACCTTCACCATAGAATTTGTGATTAAAACAAAAAAAAATGAGTGTCAACATATTTTTTTATCTGACACAGTATCTTACAAGATACTGTTTTACAAAACCACTGATTTTATCAAACATATTTAAAAATAATGTAATCCAATTCAGACATTGCAAACATAGAACACCCAAATTCTCAGTATTTTTACTCAAAAGAGGTTTAAATATAACATTTTATTATCTGTATCAGATAAAGTGTGACAAAGACAAGAGAATAATTGCAAATAATCTTTAGATCTACTAAGGTTCCTATAAGTTTAGTTCATGTTTGTATTAATAATATTAGGACTCAAAAAATTATGATTTCAGATTCTTTGAGCCATATCTAATCAATACAATGACATGTTTACATACTAATGATCAATCATACATCAATTTAAGTGATTTATTAGTTATCTTTAATTATTTTGATAGCAAGAAAGTTCATTGTTTATGACAAAAGAAAGATTTGTTAGTATATATGGGATGTAAAGGTGGAATCCAAAATTCTTTACTTAACAGTGCACTTGCATCCAAAGCCAACAATCTATAAGCCAGACATGGTAATCAATAAAAAAAAATTAGTCATCATTAATCTGATTCAAATTGTACCTACATAAATAAATAAATTTAATCAATTGAGTCCATAGAATTGTTTTGATAACACAATAAGTCTCATTTTTTGCCAGACTCCCTTTGAAGGGGTCTCGGGTTCGACTCCCGGGGCGCACAAAAGTATTACTGGATTTAAAAAAATCTCAGTAGTAGCATGGAGTCTGGAATTGTACCCGGTATATGGCAATAGGCTCACCCCCTATTACAATGGAATCATAACATAAATAATGAAAAGTGGGTGTTACATTATACAGTGGTATAATGTGCACCTCTGTCTACTCCTTCGGGGATAAAAGGTGTGATGTTATGTTATGTCCCTTTGACACATTTAACTTTAGACAAACAATTTAATATTGGCAACCCTATTTATGTCTTGTCTCTCTTATTGAGTTTTCGACATTAATAACATAAGAATAAGATTGAAATTTAATTGAAAGAGATTAGAGTCTATACCTTACCATAAGGCTGTATTTATTAACATTCATCACAGTTGGAACACAATATATTAAAAAAATTGTGAACTGTGTACAGGACACACTATACATGAGATACATAGATGCATGAATGTGATTTGTACACACTAAGTATTTTTTTAATGTCTGTCTGGTAGATTATTTAAATACATTAGACACATTTCATTTTCTTACAAAAATAAATACTTTCTACTATATAATTCTAGATTTGAAATATCACATCACATGTAAATATCAACTGTAAATATCACACTTTTACTTATGATTTATGCTATAAAATTATGTAGCCTAGCTCCGACTCCTAAAATTTGATTAGTTTTATTTAATTATCGCTTTCTTATATGATAAATTAAAAAATATTTGTCTAATAATTTTTCATTACCTAACTGACGGACTAAGTAGATTTTTAATTTTCATATCCTGTCATAATCCCTATCTTACACTCGTTGACTGGATTTTAAAAGAGACAGACCTCTGAGTTTGTTTCGGCATTTCTTCTCAGAGTAGTCAGTTAGGAAATGTCGGCCTCATCGTTCGCTTGATAAAATTGACGTGTAAAAATGCTGCCATGTAGCCTATTTGCAGAAATCACTTGTTTCACTTACATTAGGGATAGTTTCAAAGTGGATAATAATACTAAAATTTAAAAATAAAAGCAGAAGCCCAATAATAAAATCTTGAGTTAGCAATTAATTCTTCACTATCACTATAGGACCATTAACTCGTCGAGTACCGGTTTTGTAGACACAAATATAGAACAATAGGTTGCGGTCACCGGTGACCGCTTGGTGTTTGACAGTTTAAAAAAAATATATTTGCCAATGATTTTGCTTTAGCAGTTTTAACTATAATGTTCATTTCTTACAGCATTAAACTGCGCTCGTCTCCTGACAAGAGTGTTACCATACATGTTGGAGGAACCGGAGTGGCATGGTTTCTTCTGGTCATCATTACCGGCGGCCGCTGAGAATGAGTCAGTGCCATTAGCCCAGTCACTTATCAACGCTGTCTGTGTGAGTATCTTATCTTTATTCATATCTGTTTTACAATTTAAATGGTTTTATTGATTTTGTGGTCGTTGCCTAGGTAACTGTTGGGGTTATTTTCTGCATTAAAAAATAGTAACATAATGTTACGCTTCTTAATTGCTGAAGGTGTGGCTAATTTAATTGATTTCCCGAAAAGGACTCTTCTCGATTCGTCTGTATGTTTTTTTACCAGTTATGTTTCGAGTCCCATGTAATACGGGGTAAGCGTATCTAGACTTCGTAGTATTTATAACAAAACAGTCACACTTGCAACTTCTCGACCAACCTGGTATCCCTGTTTAAAATATATCACAAGAACTAACTTCTGCCAGCGGCTTCGCTCGCGTTTCCGTACGATAAAAAGTAGTCTACGTATTATTCCAGACCATAATCTACCCCTGCATCAAATTTCATCCCAATCACTTCAGTCGTTTTGATGTGAAGGAGTAATAAACAATCGAACAAACATACAAACTTTCACTTTAATAATATTAGTAGAATAGAATAGTGAATACGGATATTAACATAACATAACATCACGCCCTTTATCCTCGAAGGGGTAGGCAGAGGTGCACATATACCACTGTGCAATGTAACACCCACTTTTCACTATATATGTATGTTATGAGTCCCATGTAATAGGGGGTGAGCCTATTGCCATATACCGGGCACAATTCCAGACTCCGTGCTAGTACTGAGAATTTTTTAAAAACCCAGTAATACTTTGCCCGACCCGGAAATCCAACCTGCAACGAGGCAGTCTTAAATGAATGAATATGGATGGATATGTACATGAAAAATTTCTTAATTCAATTCCTAACAAACCCTAAAATTGTATTGTACACCATTGTTCACAGGATCTACTGTTTTGTCCGGACTTCACAGTCGCCACCACGAAGCGGGCAGGTCCCGTAAGTATTGATCCATTGATAATATTAGCTTATCTAACCATTGTATTGTGCACTGTACTCTTAGGTAGACACATACAACCTACGCGATTCGGTTTGTCTATTGATTTTCAACCTTTTCATCTTGTTTTAAGGTTGAATATGTATTATTATTATTAAAGTTATTTCAATTAATTCATAACATGTAATATTATGTAGACAGTTTTGACGCACTAATTTTTTTTTCGTTGTTTTTACAACGCTTGACTCGAGTGTTGACGTGTAAATGAAAATGTGTTGAATTGTCGACTTTAACTACGAAATAATAAGATTGAAATTTAATTGAAAGAGACCCTAACTGTAAGGCCTAATGGACTAATCAAGTTGCAATGTTCGTTATACAAAACCACTTAACTTACATGTTTGTTCTTGTACAAATATTAAAAGTTTAATATTGGTTCAGAAAATGCAATTTCTGTGTTTTGTAGACTTGTAAAGCAAGGCGTTGCTAAGTGCTATTTATTATCTTTTGATTTTATGTGTGTAAAATTGTTCAATTATAAATTACCATAATTAACACACACACAGACACGTCAAATTTATAACACCTCTGATTTTGTGTCGAGTGTTATAAAAGAATCAGAGATGGTAACTCCCCTTTTGCAAATTATTGTTAGTAATACTCCTACCTACTAGGAAGTGTAAGAAAGCTATGCTTCGGCACGAATGGGTCGGCTCGACCGGAGTGATACCACGGCCGAGCAGAACACAGAGTGATTTTATCGGAGGCCCAATCACCTCCCCCCTTCACCAATCTCCCCAATCCTTTAATCCCCAACAATCCTCAAACTCCTAATCCCCAAAAGGCCGGTTACGCACTTGTGACACCTGGTGTTCCAGGTGTACATGGACGACGGCGATTGCTTACCATCAGTTGATGCATCTAATCGATCGATCGATCTGGTCGTTTATATCCTACAAAAAAAATTAATTAATTCATGACATATATGGCAGTAACACTTGCTACTACTTGATCGGTGAAATGAAGCAACTTTTTTAAAAATTTTTTCGTTGCCTTATTTTTTTTTCAATTACTAGCATTAATTGAAATACGAAACGGTCATTACAACTAGTAATAAGAATCACTGTTTATTACGGAGTTCTATGGCAAGTTAATTTAGTTCTAAACGTAGTATGTTTAAGATTAATTATCGAACATCCATAACGTATTAATGTATAGGGCACTGAGCGTAAATTGATTGGTATTCCTCGTATATTGAAAGTGGTTTGATACATATGATGAACAAGCTTTAATGATATCATGCCCTTATTTCCCCAAAGCGTAGGTCTATTACGTCTATTACTATACACACACATAGGTACTCATTTTCGCCAGCTCTGTTAAATCCATGCTAATACAGGGTGCACAATATTAAATCAGTTTCTTATTGGAATTATAGTAGAAGAGAATAGCTTAGGCTTTCGATTTGAAAAAATCCGACACTAGCCAAATCCTATAGAGTTTCTTGCTCGTTTTTCTCCATAGGAATCTACACTTGGGAAGGAGCAAATAGCTTCACTACGACTGACCGACACACGAATTTATTTTTAATATTTTGTTTTGACGTTCAAGTGCCTTCCTGGTCTAATTGAAATAAATGTTTTTGACTTTGACTTTGTAGTACCATGGTCCTAATGACACTTACGGGATGTCGAGTACCCTACCACACGACGAAATATTTACGTGCATCCTTTTAGTCCTAGTAGTGCCATTTAATTAATTATGTGGGTGTGACATGAACCTATTTATTAGTTAAATCATAAATTATATTCCCACAGCGTATCTCTTATCTTCGTGTTTTATCATTTGCGTGCTCACTAGAGCGGGGGCGGCCATATTGGACCGTTCACCGTTGCTATGACAACGTCAATAACAGTTGTTGCAATGCTATAAGCTTAGAACAATATAAATAGACGGCTATTGAAAATGTATGGATTAAGCCACTATTCAATATTTTTTCATGTTGTTCTGTAAAGTTAGTACGAAATAGAGTTTTTATTTTGTCTACCCTTATGGACCTAAGTAAGTCTGAGCGGAAAGTCTCTTTCTTTCAATATTCTCTATCAGGCATATCTTCTTTTTTTTTTAAATAACGTTGCTAGGATTTTCTTTTGTCGTGGGTGCGTCTACAAACATACAAGTTCACATACACATCACACCCAGACCCGGAACAACAATCTGTGTATCACACAAAGACGTGTTCCTTGCGGGAACGGTACCTGCGACCTGCGACACGTTGCGTGGCAGCCAGTGGTCCAGCCATCGCGCCAACCGTGCAGTCATATCTCTCCTTCCCTTGATATCGATCTCAACACTTCTTTCTTGACTTCACACATAATTTTTAGATAACTAGCTATTAGTGATTTCACCTGCAGCTCGGCTCTTGTTCATCGTAGAAGTAGCGTGATATTTTATAGCATATAGTCTTCTTGGATAAATGCACTATTCAACACAAAAATAATTATTCAAATCGCACCAGTAGTTACGGGGTTCCGGATTAGCGCGTTCAAGCAAACAAATAAATTCATCAGTTTTATAAAACTAGTATTGGTAGATAACTAGATAAGTATACATAGATATATCCATCATAGACTGCATCCTGGCTTACCACCAGGCGAGATAGTGATCAAACGTCGGCCTATCAAATATATATAAAACTAGCTGAGCCCGCGACTTCGTCCGCGTGGAATAGTGATTCACAGCTCCTCCTTCGTAGTTGATAACATGATAATATGTAGCCTATATATTGACCCGACCTGTTAGTGATGTTCATGCAAAATTTGAAGTAAATCCATGCAGCACTTTTTAATTTCATCCCGGACATACATACAGACAAACAGACAAAAAATTTAAAAACCATATTTTTAGTTTCGGTTTCGACTGTAGATCACGCCCAAAGCATTCTTTTAAAAAAAGATTCGATGTGCAGTTTTCACTTTCCTACGATATTATTATATGTATAGACTAGCTACTTCCGCGCGGTTTCACACACTCTGCTCAGCTCCTGTTGGTCGTAGCGTGATGTTTTATAGCCTATAGCCATCCTCGATAAATGCGCTATCCAACACAAAAATAATTATTCAAATCAGACTTGTAGTTTCGGAGATTAGCGCGTTCAAACAAACAAACAAACTCTTCCATTTTATATAATAGTATAAGATAAAATGATATACAAAACCTAGATGCCTAAACAAACGTACATATAAATGCTAGACCAATAAATATTTGTTCCTTGAATTACTAATGTATACGAGATTGGCATGATAGCGATTGTATTAGTGTTATAGTGTCTACCAAACGCATTGTGTACCTGACCAACTGAGGCCCAGACTGTTGAAATAAAACAATACGTAATGAAGGTCACACCGTTACCATACTGTCTGTAATGCAAATAATATTGCTCGTACACCATCCGATTTGCTTATTTGATTTTTATAGAATATAATAGTGATAAAAATAAATATAACGTCTATGAATAAGTATAACGTAGTTCTCAGAAACGTTAAGCAGAGGTATATGTAATGTCTATCTCTCTCATCATCACGCATTTTATCCCCGAAACGGTAGGCAGAGGTGTACATTACGGCACTTATTGCCACTATACAATGCAACACCCACTTTTCATTATTTATGTTATGAGTCCCACGTAACAGCTATTGCCAGGCACAATTCCAGACTCCGTGCTACTACTGAGAGTTTTTTTAAACAACTCTGCAATAAATTAACTAAAACCGCGGGTTACTCCTGTGATTATACTGAGAAAAGCTCTACTACAGCTCACTGAGTGAGCTGCGTGACGTCGCCGCGACCGAGCACGCTGCTCATGAGGAAGAACCCCTCTGTGGTTCGAAACTAGTAGAGCTTTTCTCAGTATATCAACATGAGTAACCCGCGATTTTAGTTAATTTAGTATGTCTCACGATAGTTATTATTATAACAACTCAGCAATACTTTGCCCGATCTGGGAATCGAACCCGAGACCCCTTGTACTTGCGCACTTGTGACCACTCGGCAAACGAGAGAGGCAATAATTCCAATTATAATGTTAAATATTATTAATAATGTTCTGGTGCAGCAATAGATTTTTATCTATTCCTTCCTATTGGACGCGTACTGGCTACTTCATAACATAACCAGTTAAAATATTTCCGAAAGGTTACCTTCGACACAAAGGTGATATATCTGGGGTAATAATTATACGAAAATCCCCTCGTAGTGCTTCTCTAAACTCCATAGGGAACAGGCATCCTAAGTATCTGTCAGTCAGTCAGTCAGTCACACAGTAACGTAATAGTTTTATGTATGTTTGTGCGCGATTATCTCGCGATAGACTGTAACGATGTTTATACGATTTTCGAAAAGTGTTTGTTACACTTGAAGAAGGTATATTAATTAACCGATTTCAAAAAAAGAGGGGGTCGTAGTCGATAAACATAATTTATCAAAGAACTGCGTTGGCCGAGTGGTCGCAAGTACGACTGCCGGGCAAGGGGTCTCGAGTTCGATTTCCGAGTCGGGCGAAGTATTACTGGGTTTAAAAAAAAATCTCAGTAATAGCACGGCGTCTGGAACTGTGCCCGGTATATGGTAATAGACTCACCGCCTATTACATGGGACTCATAACATAAATAGTGAAAAGTGGATGTTACATTGTAGGTACAGTGGTATAATGTGCACCTCTGCCTAGTGCCTAGCCCTTCGAGGATAAAAGGAGTGATGTTATGTGTGTGTTTGTGTTTATCAAAGAATGATATACATATTGATTTTATATTGATGTTCGTAGGAGCGTGCAGAAGAATTATCATCCCTAGACAGTTGTGAGTACATATGGGCGGGCGGCGTTGGGTTCGCGCGGTCGCCGGCGCGGGTGGCGGCGCACGAGGCGGCGCGCACCGAGCTACTGCGGCTCATGCTCACCTGCTTCAGCGAGACCATCTACAAGCCTGCCTCACACGCCGCCTCGCATCATAACAAATGGATCGCGTGAGTTGAAGTCATACAATTTTAAGCTTTGCCGGAATTTTGGTATAGTCTAGTAAATTTGCGGTCGCGGTCACCGGTGACCGCAACCTATTGTTCTATAATTGTGTCTACAAAACCGGTACTCGACGAGTTAACTTTTGTCATAGTAGAGTTCGTATGTTTGTCATTCATTGACTCTAAACTAGCTAAACACATTTCGATGAAAATGAAATATAGCAACGATTTAACCGTGGCTTCGGCTGGAATCAGTAGTTGAAATTGTGTGAATTTTAGTCAGCTAGAGTTTCGAACACTCCCTCTTGCCTCAGTCGGGGCGGGAAGAGACATTCAATGATTTTCTCCATTCAACAAAGTAAGTAGTTTCAACTTCTCTTCTTACCCTCTGTAGCTACCTGACGAGCCCGGACAACCGCCACGCGTTGCCTCTATTCACGTCGCTGGTGAACACGGTGTGTTCCTACGACCCGGTGGGACTCGGCCTGCCGTACAACCATCTACTCTTCGCCGACACGCTCGAGCCGCTCGTTGAAGTAATTCATTCTCTCTATTTTATTTTTAGTAGTCAAAGGCATCAGTTTGTCAGTCATTTGGTAAAATTAATGATATGATGAAATAAAGGGCGAAAGCCAACCATGTTATTAGAGAATAGCCTATCTATTTGACGTTAGCCTGGTCGGAGAATCCTTCCGCTCGGTACTTCTGGGGACCCTTAAAGATTCCTTAGAAGACCAGGGACCCTAAAGGTTCGATCACAAGGATCGGCGCACCCTATTCCCAAAATTGGTAAACTGGCTGAATAAGGCAAACTTCATTCCTCTAGCCTAATAATAATGTATTTACTCAATTAATAAACGTATTACAGGTAGCTCTTCAAGTGCTGATAGTGACTCTGGACCATGACACGAGCAACGCAGTCAATGAGGAGTCGGACGAGGTATATTTGTAGATAGAGCCACATAAAACGAAAGCTACATAAATTTTAAGTCTATTCTGATTTTACCAAAGTAAAAACGAAAAAAAATTGTCCTTATGTGTATGTTGGTATATGAGAATGATATAAATAAAAAACTTTAACTTTAAAAGTTTATATTGTGTAAAAGATCAAAATTATGATCTTTTGAAAATTCATCTTGTTATAGTTACATTTTGAACTCATTTCTAACACTAGACTTACAACATCACTATTTCCAGACGCTCCCAGACAACTTATTCATCAATTACTTATCCCGCATCCACCGCGATGAAGACTTCCAGTTCATCCTGCGAGGTGTGACGAGGCTTCTGAACAACCCATTAGCACAGACATATCTACCCAACTCCGCGAAGAAGGTCAACTTACACCAGGAACTGTTGGTGCTGTTCTGGAAGATGTGCGACTATAATAAGGTTGGTTTACGTAATACTTTTATAACATAACGTAACATCATGCCTTTTATCCTCGAAGGGGTTGGCAGAGGTGCACATTACGGCACTTAATGCCACTGTACAATGTAACACCCACTTTTCATTATTTATGTTATGATTCCCGTGTAATAGAGGGTGAGTCTATTGCCATATACCGGGTACATTTCCAGTCTCCGTGCTACTACTGAGATTTTTTTAAACACCCAGTTATTGTTTCCCCGACCGAACATTGAACCCGAGACCCCTTGCCCGGCAGTCACATTTGCGACCTCTAGGCCAACGAGACAATCAATTGATTTATTAGTCTTATGCTAATCCATGAAGCTGAGGTCTACAATGTAACATAGAAAATATACCCATAAAGATCATTCCTTGGCCAAATCTGGAATTCGAACCATTCTAAGTTAGAATGTTAGAATTTCTAACCCATAAATCTAGTCCTACATGAGCAATTCAGTATGTGTTCCTTCTAAAATTCAGTGTAATTCTTCCAGTCGGAAAGTAATTACGAACGTGTGCATTGTACAATGATTGAACAAAATGATGTAACTAGTCTCAAATCTCAATTGGGAAATGTCTTGCCTTTGATTTAATTAAGCGTAAATGGAATGAATTACGGACATTGTGTACAAGTACTTACATGTAGTTTGTTTATAAGTAATGATATTACTTTGTTATTGTTTCAGAAATTCATGTACTACGTGCTGAAGAGCAGTGACGTGCTGGAAGTATTGGTGCCCATACTGTACCATCTCAACGACTCACGCGCAGACCAATGTAAGTAATTAATTTAAATTAGTGTTTTATGCTCGTCCTCTTTATTAAGTACCACCTACTTCAGCGCGGTTTCACACGCTCTGCTCTGCTCCTACTGGTCGTAGCGTGATATTTTATAGCCTATAGCCATCTTCGATAAATGCGCTATCCAACACAAAAGACTTGTAGTTACGGAGATTAGCGCGTTCAAACAAACAAGAAAACATTTCGCTTTATATAATAGTATAATATTGTTTGTCAGTAAGGTAACCGTTCTACTAAAGTTGATGTATATATGGCGAACAATTTTACCTTCAGCTGTCCTTTGGAGAATATCTTACAAGACAATGTTGTTAGTATAAAACTTGTTATTAAACTGCTTAGTGATCTAAAGTAATCACGTATTTACCGGAGAGTTGTACTGTTGTAAATTATTATTGACTAGCGGCCTGCCCCGGCTTCGCATGGGTGCAAGAATCTATTACAAAAAACCGCATTAAAATCCGTTGCGTAGTTTTAAAGATCTAAGCATACATAGGGACAGACAGACGGTGGATAGCGACTTTGTTGTATAGTATGTAGTGATGTCTCTGAAGTAGTCGTTACTTGTCCCGCGGCCAGCTCGCGTGGGCCTGATGCACATCGGCGTGTTCATCCTGCTACTCCTGTCGGGCGAGCGCAATAAAGATCTAAGCATACATAGGGACAGACAGACGGTGGATAGCGACTTTGTTGTATAGTATGTAGTGATGTCTCTGAAGTAGTCGTTACTTGTCCCGCGGCCAGCTCGCGTGGGCCTGATGCACATCGGCGTGTTCATCCTGCTACTCCTGTCGGGCGAGCGCAATAAAGATCTAAGCATACATAGGGACAGACAGACGGTGGATAGCGACTTTGTTGTATAGTATGTAGTGATGTCTCTGAAGTAGTCGTTACTTGTCCCGCGGCCAGCTCGCGTGGGCCTGATGCACATCGGCGTGTTCATCCTGCTACTCCTGTCGGGCGAGCGCAATAAAGATCTAAGCATACATAGGGACAGACAGACGGTGGATAGCGACTTTGTTGTATAGTATGTAGTGATGTCTCTGAAGTAGTCGTTACTTGTCCCGCGGCCAGCTCGCGTGGGCCTGATGCACATCGGCGTGTTCATCCTGCTACTCCTGTCGGGCGAGCGCAATAAAGATCTAAGCATACATAGGGACAGACAGACGGTGGATAGCGACTTTGTTGTATAGTATGTAGTGATGTCTCTGAAGTAGTCGTTACTTGTCCCGCGGCCAGCTCGCGTGGGCCTGATGCACATCGGCGTGTTCATCCTGCTACTCCTGTCGGGCGAGCGCAATAAAGATCTAAGCATACATAGGGACAGACAGACGGTGGATAGCGACTTTGTTGTATAGTATGTAGTGATGTCTCTGAAGTAGTCGTTACTTGTCCCGCGGCCAGCTCGCGTGGGCCTGATGCACATCGGCGTGTTCATCCTGCTACTCCTGTCGGGCGAGCGCAATAAAGATCTAAGCATACATAGGGACAGACAGACGGTGGATAGCGACTTTGTTGTATAGTATGTAGTGATGTCTCTGAAGTAGTCGTTACTTGTCCCGCGGCCAGCTCGCGTGGGCCTGATGCACATCGGCGTGTTCATCCTGCTACTCCTGTCGGGCGAGCGCAATAAAGATCTAAGCATACATAGGGACAGACAGACGGTGGATAGCGACTTTGTTGTATAGTATGTAGTGATGTCTCTGAAGTAGTCGTTACTTGTCCCGCGGCCAGCTCGCGTGGGCCTGATGCACATCGGCGTGTTCATCCTGCTACTCCTGTCGGGCGAGCGCAATAAAGATCTAAGCATACATAGGGACAGACAGACGGTGGATAGCGACTTTGTTGTATAGTATGTAGTGATGTCTCTGAAGTAGTCGTTACTTGTCCCGCGGCCAGCTCGCGTGGGCCTGATGCACATCGGCGTGTTCATCCTGCTACTCCTGTCGGGCGAGCGCAATAAAGATCTAAGCATACATAGGGACAGACAGACGGTGGATAGCGACTTTGTTGTATAGTATGTAGTGATGTCTCTGAAGTAGTCGTTACTTGTCCCGCGGCCAGCTCGCGTGGGCCTGATGCACATCGGCGTGTTCATCCTGCTACTCCTGTCGGGCGAGCGCAATAAAGATCTAAGCATACATAGGGACAGACAGACGGTGGATAGCGACTTTGTTGTATAGTATGTAGTGATGTCTCTGAAGTAGTCGTTACTTGTCCCGCGGCCAGCTCGCGTGGGCCTGATGCACATCGGCGTGTTCATCCTGCTACTCCTGTCGGGCGAGCGCAACCTGGGCGTGCGACTGAACAAGCCGTACACGGCGACGGTGCCGATGGACATCCCGGTGTTCACGGGCTCCCACGCCGACCTGCTGGTCGTCGTCTTCCACAAGATCATCACCACTGGACACCAGAGGCTGCAGCCACTCTTTGATTGCTTGCTTACTATACTTGTTAATGGTGAGTCTTATATTCCGTTTGTTTCTCCTGTTTCATGGGATAGGAGGCTAAGGGGCCAACCATAAATTACGTCATAACTTAAGGGGGAGGGAGGGGCGACGAAGTGTGACATTGTGTGACAAGGGGGAGGGTAGGATCCAAGACTTTGTAAATTCACATTTCAAAGACTTATAATTATAATCTGCGTTAAAATACGAAATATAATTTTTTGACATTAATCTTTTTTTAAAGTAAATTAAGTGGATATAAAAATAACAATAGTTTCTGTTTCTATACTAAATTCTGCAAAATGTGACGTCACACTAAGGGGGGGTCTCACAAATGTGTCTAGCTGTGACAAGGACGGGGGAGGAGCAAAAAAATTATGAAATTCGTGTGACGTAATTTATGGATCACCTCTAAAGGGTATATCTGATCAATTTTATAACATAAACCATTACGACCGCCTATGGACACTTGCAACGCCAAAGGAGTTACAAGTGGGTTACATGTAATTAAAAAAAATGCTCTTTTCTTGTAATTTGAAGGCCTTTAGCTCTTTTCAAATGAAAATTAACCAGACAAACAGAAATGTACACCACAAAAAACTGATCTATTAGTAGTTATACAATTTATTGTCTATTCATTCTTAATTATAATTAAATTGTAAGTATTGCATACTTCTGTTAAGCAAGCTAAATGTCTATATTACAGTACAGTACAGTACAGTATTGCATACTTTTGTTAAGCAAGCTAAATAAATCCTAACTAAGATCTAACTCAACATAATTTAATCAGTAAAAATAATATTCCACTGTTTATGTCTTCAGTATCTCCATACCTGAAGACGCTGTCAATGGTAGCGTCCACAAAGTTGCTACATCTACTGGAAGCGTTCAGTACTCCGTGGTTCCTGTTCTCTCAGCCTCACCACCATCACCTCGTGTTCTTCCTGCTGGAGATGTTCAATAATATGATACAGTACCAGTTTGATGGTGAGTCATATTTAGTATTAATGACAATGGCACATTTGGAGTGTAATTTATTGATAGAAGTGATTTAAGTTATAAAATAAGATTTACACTTGTAAATCTATAAACAAAATCTAAATCTTTCATCCTTCAATTAATTTTGCTAAATTAAGAGGAATGATACGACATTTGACGCAGAAATCTGTTGCTGATGAAAAGCTCCATCCTCTGCATCACCAGCTGCAGGGGATGGAGCTTTTCGTTCCATCTTCTCTGGTCCCCATCGGTGGCAGATATCGGCCCTGGTTTGGTGCTTTTACCAGAAAGGCCTCACGCAGAAAGCGGAGGGCCTACCAAGTCTAGAACGATGCGCTTGTGGCACGGGATGTAAATACTCGTACATTTTGGTCGCTCGCCAAAGCTATTGAAGGCAATTTCTGCAGGCCGTCATTTCCACTTCTGCACATGGGTTTTTTCGTTGGCACATTCGTTGGCTCCTGACGCAAGGGATAAAGCTCAGCTTTTGGGGAAAATCTTTGTTTTCCAACTCGACACTGGATGACGGTGGGCGCGAGCCGCCTGTTGTGCCGTGGTGCGGAAGGTATATGCCGGTTATACGGTTCCACCAGCGCACGGTACATATGGCGCTCTTATCACTTGACGTCCATAAGTCGAGCGGGCCTGATGGAATCCCACCCATTGTTTTGAAGATGTGCGCTTCTGAGTTGGCACCAGTTCTAACACGTCTTTTTCGGCTCTCTTACTCTTCAGGCATAGTTCCAACGACATGGAAGACAGCTTTAGTCCATCCGATCCCTAAAAAAGGTGATCGATCTAATCCATCCAACTACAGACCGATAGCCATAACTTCTCTCTTCTCGAAAATAGTGGAGTCGATTATTAACTAACAGCTCCTGCGTTACTTAGAGGATCAGCGGCATTCATTGTTATGCGTAGGACAGCACAGGCGATGCCTACTACACTGGCCGCGCTAACATTTCTCAGGAAAACGTCATAGAGAGCCGAAACAGACTCGTGTCTGAAATCGAGGCTTCTTTAGGGAGAATCTCTGATTGGGGTGGACTTAATTTGGTCCAGTTTAACCCCACTATAACACAGATCTGCGTGATTACCGCAAGAAACTGCCGTTGGTCCTCAGTTTCAAAGCACCCCCTTAACTACCTCAGCCGGTATTGGAAGACTTGGTGTCAGCATTTCGAGCGACGTCCAGTTTCGCGGTCATCTAGAGGATAAGGCTAAATTAACCTCGAGGAAGCTTGATGTGTTCAGTAGATCAAGGCACAGGTTCGGCCCCACATGGTGTACTGTTCTCATCTTTAGGCGGGGGCTACCTAGTACCAGCTTCTTTCTCTGGACCGTGTTCAGCGGTATGACTTTTGGATTGTTGGATGTCGGGATGTTTCAAACCGGCTAGACACTTAGCAATGCGTAGAGATGTAGCCTAGTTGTGCATTTTCTATCGCCTATACCACGGGGAGTGCTCTGAGGAATTGTTTGACTTGATTTTAAGTATTACTCATCATTATTCGTCATCCATATATCCTACGTTTATTGATAAATATTTCAAACAGTAGTTTTTAAGACTTGTATTAATATTGTAAGTGTTGGTTATTGTCCAGGTAACTCGAACCTGGTGTACACAATAATCCGCAAGCGCGGCGTGTTCCACAACCTCGCCAACCTACCGCACGAACACTCCGCCATCGCGCGCTCGCTCGCCGCCGGACGCGCCAGGGGACCGCTGCACAAGGCACTGCCCAGGTAAATAACGATACGAGTGAATAGGTTAATTATGGGTAGACGTGCTCCATCGAAGGCCACATGATTGCTGACCATCAGGCGAGATAGTGGCCAACCGTCGGCCCATCAAATATAAAAAAAAGAAACTGTAGCCAAAGTCTACGACAATGTAATCGCACTCACTACTATTCGACTAATAAAAGATCAAGTAAGTAACATACGCCCGAATACTGAAAGGCTCTGTCATTTTGTAAAAAAAAATGTAGTGACAGAACTATACTTAAGCGCGCCTTCAAATTGAGTAGCGTTTGAGTATTTGGAGAATACTTTCTCAAATATTTATTGTTGTTAAATCTTTTAGAACTACTATTTTTACATCACTTTAGAACCCACCGCAACTGAGACATGATCGGCAAAGGATTTTGATATAGACTCCTGACAAGTATCATCTTATACAATAAACAATTCAAATAATTCCACTTCAAAATGCCACGATTAGTTTATTGATCAAAAATAAACTCTATAAACCAACATAACACTTTCTTACCAGGAAACCATTAACAAAATCCAACCTTCTATCCATTAAAATAAGGATTATTATTGATTCACCCAGCCAGCAGCCCGACCAAACACCACTTCAACAAGAGGGAAATATTTTACCGAATGGAACTAGCAGGAACAAAAGGAAGACAGGCGAAAGGCTGCGGTATTTACTATACGCGCATGCGCATCGCTAGCTAAATAATAATAACTTTTATAGCACTCACACAAACATACTCACACTTTATTATGAAGCTAGGCAGAAAGTTATATGTCGAGCTAGTGATGTCAACTGCTTTTTGTGTTCGTTATATTTGAATCCCGTCACTGAATCTAATAGAAAACTACTCAATCGAAAGCTATGAATCGAATGTTTAATCCATATTTATTGCTAAATTTTTAATTTCAAAAAAGTACATGGTAGAAAAAAATATTGTGAAATATCTTTCTTAAACTGTCAAACACCAAGCGGTCACCGGTGACCGCAATCTATTGTTCTATAATTGTGTCTATAATGACGGTACTCGACGAGTTAAGCCATACTGAAATAACTAAGTATTATTAATACATCAAGTTCAAGACCTTATTCGTCTCTAAATCTTTTGGTGACAATAACCTCTGTATGTCAATTTTTTTACTCAATATCAGCAATAATAGGATTTGTGAGACTAGCTAGGCGTTCACTGTTACTGCTACTATCGTCTTCCATTACTCACAACATAACAATGTGTGCGTGCTCACTGACCAACATTCACAGAGGCCTTAGTACGAAATATATTTGAAGTAGACGTAACGAGTGCGCGTTCGGCGCTCTGATTGGTTGGTTTATTGGTGCCGGCCAATCAGAGTGCCGAACGCGTACTCGTTACGAGTACTTTAAACGTAAGACAAACTAGTACTAAGGCCTCTGATAATGCTGATTACTTCATCTATATGTCTTAACCGTCCCTCGATGTATTAACCTTCAATCTACTTTGTATTTGCAAAAATCAAACTCACGTTACTAAAAACCCCATTCACTGTCACTAAAAAAACTTTGACATTTTGATATAGCTACTTAACATTTACACAATTACATTTTGAAATTAATAAATCTAAAACAAACAGAATCATCTCAAAGAATATGATTTTATAATTAAATTCTAGAATTGTAAACGCATTCTAACTGTCGTTAGAGGAGACCGCGGTTGGTTGTCTAACTGGATAGGTAATTGTTGAGGCAGCCATATATTGTAGCGTACGGCGCGTCGCGTTCCGCACACGCCTCAAAGAGCCATCAGACCATCACGGATGGGGCCCAACAGGGCTGATGCCGATTCGGAGTCGCAGAGAACCTAACGGGTTACCGGGGCTCCAGCTCGAAGCGCAGGAGAAGGAATGGGGTGGTTTTTAGTCAGTAAGAGTGACACTCCCCTCCGCCTCACCCAGGCGGGAGCAGTCATTTGATGATTTTCCACCTTAAAATAAAAGCCATATATTGTGATCGGTTCATCAATCGGTAGTGAAGAATAACGAAAGTATCACCGCTCTTCCGACGTCGATTCTTTGATTCCGATCAATTCATATTGTTCACCCACAAGGTGGACAGATGGCCATCAGGTCATCTTTGTCAAAAAGTCACAGAAAGCTGCTCCAACCAGCCGATATAGGTCACTTCCATCTGGCCAATTTGGAAGTCATTGGGAAGGCCTATGTCTTGCGGTGGACGCCTTGTGGCTGATATAGTGATGATTATGACATCTGTGACAGCTAACCCTGGTCTCTTCTGTGCATGAATTCTGCCACTAAATACCCTTGCTATGTTACAAAAGGTGTAATACTATGTCTATAGGTCTCGCAGCGCTGAGTCTGTGGCCGAGACCCCGATGGAAGGGTCCCGACCCGCCCAGCCAGCGGAGCCCGGCACGCTCAATCCTACACTCGCTGAGACACCCGGTGAGTATTGAATTAATAACGTTATTATAATAAAGTCTTTATATTCATTACAATAAGAACCTTTTTTCACTAGTCACAATCGTATTTTCTTCACACAGCAATCAGCACAATGACAGAGCGTGAGTCAGCTCACCCGCCGCCGCAGCGTCTAGAAGTTGACGCGATGGAGTCGTCCGACGCGACCGTCATCTCCGACACCACCGACGCGGCCGTCACTCCACTCGACGGGGACGCCAGGGAGCCCCGGGACAGGCTGCTGCCGCACCGGGCCGGACCTGATGGACAGGACAGACCTGATGATGCTGATGTTGATGAGGATGGGGACAAACGGACTGTGGCACATGTGAGTAGTTTTGTTCTTTAGTTCCATCGTATAAATAGTCAGATTGTCATTTATATGCTGTAATTATTGGACGTCAAATAAATAACCATACACATGTTTTTTAAAAAGAAAATGCATTATATTGATACATTGTATGCCATCTGAACATTCTGAACTTTCGTTTACTTTTATTTAAAACCATGTAAAAATATACCATAAAAGTCAATTTCTATCACGCCATATTGTTAATTTTTTTGCGCAATTAATAGATATTTTGCGCAATATAAGCGCAAGTCTCCAAATAAGCCTCTACTTTATCACCATGACAGAGAAACAGCCTACAAGTGGGCAGTGGAGGTCGTCCCCCCCAGGAGGGAGGGTCGTGGCGTCCGTCAGCGGAGTGGGTATCATCCTGGCGCGGCAAGTTGCCGCTGCAGACCATCATGAGACTGTTGCAAGTGCTCGTGCCACAGGTCGAGAAGATCTGCATTGACAAGTACGTGCTATTTGTTGTATTTAACAAAAACTACTCTCGCTGTGTTCATATCATGCCGTAGCGAAATGTATATTCGTGTTACTTTTTGAAACATATTTTCGCTATGCGATGGAAAGTGAAGATTTCAAGAAAAGTTTATTTCATTTAACAATCCAAAAATGCAACCATATAAAAGTTACCATTATAATTTGCTCACATTATCAAATCTTCGGTTTTGTGCAGAAGTTCTGTCGCTAATGTTAGAATCCACTAAATTTTTACCGGTATCGTAGACACGTTATTTTAAATACCCCAAACATCAATTGTATTTTTTCTCTCAGGGGTCTGACAGACGAGTCAGAGATCCTCCGGTTCCTACAGCACGGTACCCTGGTGGGTCTCCTACCAGTGCCGCACCCCATCCTCATTCGCAAGTATCAGGCCAACGCAGGCACTGCTGCATGGTTCCGGACGTATCTGTGGGGTGTCATCTATATACGGTAAGTTTTTTTATAAACACGATTACTATCATCATCTAGAAGGAGAATGTCCACTAGTCCACTACTTACCTAAAACTTCCCCTTATAAGTTGGTAATCATCCACTGTTCTCTACTTCACAACTGCCTCTTTTGGTGAATGGTTGCAAATGATTGTCAACCAAGGGTCCTATTGAACTTCTAGACCATTAGACTAGAAAAGCAATAACCTTACCTGGGCGCTTACTCTTGAATCCAATTCCGATCGATCGACATTGGTATTGTGAAATTACGTACTCTTGACTTGCAACACTAGCGCACGTTGCATCGGTGTTGCGTGGATATTGAATGAACTAAATGATATTGAGTTTGGCTTTATATTCCGTACTCTGAATGCTATTGTAACAGTTACGATTGTGGTTGTATAGTGTTGACATTGGATAATTATTGAGATTTTATTGGATTAAAATTGCATTGACATTGAGATTGGTTTCAAGAGTAAGCACCCTGAACTGACTACATAGAGGTACTGAAAACGAGGAGTGTTCAAAGAATATTTAAACATTTTTAACCAACGACAGCAAAAGGTTTTCTATTTTTTTTTTCTTATTCGTAAAAGCTTTCAAACCGTTTACAAGAACTCGGTTACTTAATTATGCAGAAGTATTTACCTCCATTCTATGTATCACCACCCGAGTACATGAAAACATTGATTGTGGATTTATATAATATTAATATTATTCTATCCCCAGTAACGTGGACCCGCCGATATGGTACGACACAGACGTGAAGCTCTTCGAGATACAGCGTGTGTAATCAAATCACTGACTTTACTGACTTAGCTAACTTACATAGAAACACGAGTTGATCTCTATCGCTATACCGGCTCGTAATGGCCGCTCGTAATTATATAGTTAATGCATTGATGATACAATGGTATTGTAACTTAAAATCTAAGAAAAACACTGAATTATTAGTTCTTTGCGACTGTTAAACGTGAGAGTTCAAGTTGTGGGAGTTTTCCCAGGTAAGTAAAATGTTATTGGTTTGTACGACTTTTTAGTAATCTGACTCAAATTGTGCAATTGTTTTTGCGTCTATGTAAAATTCTATGGAATATTTTGAGTTATAATACTGTTGTCATATTAATGGGATTAGTTGATTCTATTGTACATAACTTCAAAACTAGAAAACTGCTGCGCTAACAGGTTTTGTAGACGTTTTGTGATAGGTAATATCAGTGTTGAAAAGTTGCTTTGTAAGAAAATAATGAGGTTGTGTACAATATAATCAGTACCTAAACATATTTTATTCAATTAATTATTACTATTTAATTTACTAAATGGTAGGTAAATGAAATTCCCTTTTCTTTTATACGTAAAATATTATAAATACGTTTAGAAACTTGAGCCTTATGGCAAGACTAAATGATATGGCTTCTTTTAATTGAAAGATTATTCGAATATAATTAATACTTAATAAAATGATTTAATTGGTAAATAAAAAACTAATGTTATACTATGGTGGCACCCAATCTTCCAGTATTTATTTAATTTTATATTTATTTTTATTGCAATTAATAATCAAATAGCACCTATAATTATTGACAGGACGGCATGACGATAACTATAGTCAATTGTAATAATTTCAAATGTAACTGACCATGTCTTATGAGCGCTTTACGTGTATAAATAATTATACTTATATTCTGGTGTTTTACCTATAAAGTTGCCGTTAAGACGCTTTCTGTCCACGACACGTGATTTGACGAATGCATGTAACCTACAAATGATAGGCGGCCTATAATTGCCACTTCGTAGGCGGTTGTCGTTGTTTCTAAGCAAGATGCATTTGTCTTTTGTAGGTCGCCTATTGTCATTTACAGGTTGCATCAAATAAGCGTCGTGGACAGTGGACCATACCGTTTGTCAAACGTCAATTTTATAGCTATTATACCTCGATATTAAAATGTTAACTGAAAGCTGATGGCTAGTCATAATTTTAAAACAATATAATCTTCTATGAATTTATCTACTTATGAATGTGACTTTAGGTTTAATAGTATGTGTTTTGTGTTCAGATTACTTTACATGCAATATGACAAAGTTTTTAATATCTAGGCAACTATAAAAATGCTAATACTACATTTTAAATCGAGAAGTGTCAGACGTTACTCAATTAGTGTAACAATATTGTTTTTAAGCAAAAATAGTCTTTATCGTCCATTATTCCTTATATGGTGGACATTCCACCCATTCGCACGAAGCGTTTTGTTTCCTTGTGCGAATCGCTAAGAAAAGGATTTTTTTGCCAGAATCTGTTTCCCAACAAATACAACTTGGGTGTCTTCAAATACCGAGTGAACAGGTTGCTCATAGGTAGGCGTGCTCCATCGTCGGTTACCACCCGGCGAGATAGTGGCCAAATATCAACCTACCAAGTTAAAAAAGATAGAGTGATAGATGTCTACAGAATGCGTTAAGTTATTTAAAGCAAAAGTTGCGTAGTTGCGCAAAACTTAGCGCAAAACAGAAGATTTGCGCAAACTGTAGACACATTAAAGATTGATAGAGTTTGTTGATTTTTATCGATATTTGACATGGCCATTTGGTTTGTTTCGATAATATTCTTATTTCAATTAAATCGAATATAACAAAGTGATAATGGATTTTGCAAAAATATTGAATGAATTGTTTTTTTTTTTCAATTATGTATTATTTTATATTATGACAAATTAACGAGGCTTATGACATATTTAATGATGTACATACATACATTCCATGTGATGGTTTTGTTTTATGATTATATCATTGAATTCAATTTTATTATATTAAAATGTAATATAGTTTATGAATTTATCACCAAAATGTAATATTTGTGTTATGGCCGGTCCACACGACCGAAATATTATAAAGTACATAATTTAGGCTGAGTATAGAGTGTATGATTGTCTACGCCTTACCAAAGCAGTGTCGTGTGAACGAGGCTTTATGTCGTGTTTCGTGCACTGTCACCGTTTGTTTGAGTAAATTAATTGGGCCTTAGTGGAGTACTGTAATGAGATGCTTTATGAACAAATAATGGAACTTGAATATTCTATTGTCAGAATTTTAGTAGTGGGGTAATGTGATGGGAGGAATGTAAGGGCGCCTCCACATCTGGCGAATGCGCAGATGCTCGCGAGCTGCGCGCGTGCATTTAAAATTAATATTGCATTGCCATTGCCGAGACTGCACGCGCGCAGCTCGCGAGCGGCCCGCAAGCTACGCAATCCCCTGATGTGGACGTACCGTAAAAGAATTATTTGAGTAGAAAATATTAAAAGCTCAAGCAATTCTTTTGCCTTCATTTAATTATTACAGTTCCACTAACAAAGTTACATTTTATTTTATACACTATTTTAATGATGACTTTTTAGAGATTGAGAACTTTATAAATTAATGTACGTAAACTTTCTTTCCACTGCGGCCCGCTTCTAGTGTATCTTGTACTTTTAATAATTTATTTGACACAATCACCGTACTTAATGTTATTATGTATAAATAGAGAATATATTATAATGTGAGCATATAACTTCAATTCTATTATTCCTTTCACTTTAGTAAGGTGGAGGGTTCCAACCCCGAGATGGTTAAGGGGGCAAAATCATCGAATAACTTCTTCCACTTGAGTGATGCGGGAAGGAGTGTCAGTCTCTGACTAAAAACCACCCCGTCCCTACTCCTGCTCTTTGAGCCGGAGCCGCGGTAACCATTTACGTTCTCCGCCCGACTCTGCCTCATCCCCGATGCCCGGAGTGAATACCGGTATGGGTAGCAGCTTAATTCATTCGAAAATCCTCTTATTAACTCCTTGCGCCAAATTGTTATCGTATAATACTATCAATAATATTAAGTTAGGTATATTAAAAACGCCCAAGTATATCCAATTAACTCTTTTGAACATTTTGCATTTACATTAGGTGTGAGGATAAAATAAACTACATAGAAAATTGACGCGGGTTAAGCTGCGGGTAAAAACGAGTAGCTAGTAATATAATGAAACAACAAAATCACAGATATACAATCTTTAATAACGAAGCGTCTGTTATAAAAGACGAACTGACCTCCTTTTCTATAAAAAGGATATTATTCGAATGTAAAATAATTAAACGCCAACAAAATATAACGTCCAACTAAATAACATCACATTTATTATGACTAACGAATGACTAGACTTACGTTATTAATCATTATTATTATTATTTTAAGTTCATTTTTACGGTGATGTACTTCTTTATATCATTACATTTAAAGCTATTTAAGTTAATTTATAACCAGAATATAAAGAATTTTATTGTACTAAACAGCAATCTAAAAGATTTCAGTATACTCTAAATTATTCCGAAATTAATAGGTATTTTAAAAGAGAACCAGAACTTCAAACGGTTACATTCGATTGTGCGTCGATACCTCAGTCAAATAGTTTCTGGCCTCCGTACAATTTAATACTGTAAGTAAACAAATAATAACAAAATATACAAAAGTACAGCACCGCTATAATGTAATCAATTCACCACATTATATACTATAATAAGTCCTGCTGGTTTTAAACAAGTACAGGTTGCCAGATCTTTTATTTGAATTCAGCATTCTAATGTAAAAATGTATTAAAATGTGTCTGAACAGATCCTATTAAAAGTGCATGAAAATTTCCGAAAAACTACCAATCGTATATTATTTTTTTAATCTGGTAACTCTGAAATTGCCGTTTCTGGCAACCCTTATCAGCAGATTCAAGTTGGCAGTGCACTGAAGTGCTATTGAAATTGTAATGATTATAAGTAGATGTCTAAATTTTACAACCAATCTGAGTCTAATATTTTGGCAGGATTTGGTTAATTTTTAAACTATAGCCGTGGTCACGAGATTGGATGTAAATTTCATACACCTGTAGGCATTTACGTCAGCACATATAAATACAGACATACTAAACTATACTATACTAACATGTACAGAGTAAAATGGGGTTTAAGATTATCTCTCTATCGTTATATGGCATACAAAACTAGTTTCGAGACAATTCTAAAAATATCTTCAATATTTCTGCCGATTATTGAACACCGCATTTATTGTTATTTACATTTTAAAATCGACTTATGATCGGTAAGTCCTACCGTACGCTATATAATGAGTTAAGAGATCTATTACAGCAGAGAGCTTATTCCATCAGGCTTTGAAACATATAACATACATATACTTACGGCTTAAACATCAATCTTTGGTCGGAAACCAAGTTTTTATGGGGAATTTTAAGATTGTTTCTTTAGCCTACCTTATGTCCTACGTCAGCGAAGTAAGCAAGGCTATATAGTTTGCTTCGCATACCCTTTTTTCATACCATTTTCATAACAACAATTATTATATAAGGACCAACTTACATTTAAGAATGAATGTTAAAATTCCCCATAAAATGTTCAAAACGATATTTTAATTGGACACAGACTAAACTAAAATGTTTACTCTTACTTTCTAACAGGTGAACGAAGATAGAGATAGAAGATATTTAGGGACATCAAAAATAAATAGCTGGTAACATTACAGGTTTTTAACACTGGCAAGATATGAATATTAAATACTGGGCTTTACAAAACACAGGTTGTTTTAAAAAATCATAAAGGATTTTTAATTTCTTGCAGATAGTTATTGAACAGTGCCAAAATTCAAAGAGAAGGAAGGAAAGGGGAGGACATTGGAATCTTAGCAAAAGGTGGGAACTTCGAAAGGTGATCGTGAAGGTATTAAGATCATTTCAGTGATATTTTTGTAAGGTGATACTCGTGAGTCAGGATTATACGTAGTTTACATATAGACTAGGGTAAGGTTAGGGCCACTTTTACTCTAAAAACGCTTAACTTTCCGAGCATGTAAAAACACTGCACCTATAATATTCAACAATCCAAGCAATATTTGCTGAGCTAATGACAAAATTTGGCTTCATATTCATACAATAAAATAACGATGGAAGCCACATAAAATTGATATTATTCATGATGCTTTATTGCCTGCCACTTTTGCGTCAAAATTGAGTTTATCACCAAAACATCACATTGTTTCCAAAAAGCTACAATAAACTGGCAACACCTTGAGACAAAAATTCGGTGTTGCCAATGTTTAAGCAAAATTTATACCTTTTTAGTTCGTTAAAAAGTTGGTATAAATAATTGGTGCTTTTTTAAACTATTGAGTTATAACCTTACCCTCATGTGCAGTCTATATGATGAACTCCTGGCTCACGGGAGCCGCTAGCTAGCTGAGTGAGCTGTATGCAGGGGGCGGAGGGCTAGCGTCGCGGCCAGGCATCAGGACTGCGATCTTGTACGGGGGCGGCGCCTCAGGGGACTCGGTGACGGGCTGCGAGCGCTCGGAGGATTGTAGAAGGGTCGCCAGCGATATGTCGTCAGATGGTTCTGATGGTGGAGGCTGGAAAAAAGAAAATGGATTGTTGTATCTGTATAGATTAGTTTTGGAATATGATAATGAAGTTTTTGTGACAACTGCGATCTCCAAACTTCTCGAGGGACTAAAACTTGACTATTTCAACTCCCTGCTCTTTTAAACCCAACTCTTTTAAAAGGAGACCAGCAATGGACACATTTTTTTTTCTTTGTCTAAATTATTTTAAGGTTATTAGGGCATAATGTGTAATAAGTTTACTTATAATGTGTAACTGCATTTATTGTATTAGGTGTGCCTGTGATGATAAATGTAATGTTTAAATATAAATAAATATTGTAACTGACGATGAGTAACTCGGTCAACGAGTAGTCGCAAGTGCAACGCGAATGCTGGGCAAGTATTACTAGGTTTTTAAAAAAATCTCAGTGGTAGCACGGAGTCTGGAATTGTGCCCGGTATATGGCAATAGGGTCACTCCCTATTACATGGGACTCATAACATAAATAGTGAAAAGTGTGTGTTACATTGTAGTGGCATTAAGCCTGTCCCTTCGTGGATGTTGTGCGACGTAGTACGTACGTGTCGGTCGCGCTGCGCCGTGGAGGAGACGCGGTCGGGCGGCAGCGGCGGCGGCGGGCGCGCGCGGCACAGCGACAGCGCGCAGCCCACGCCGCACACGCACGCCACCGCCGCGCACACCACGCTCGCCTCGCCGCCCGACCCCGCGCCGCCCGACCTCATCACCTGCAACCCACTCACTTGTAGCTCTACCGCAATACCGTACATAGCTATCGTTCACTTAAAGGGCATGGATAGGATAGTGCAGGCCATGATACGGAGCGAGGGGGACTGGGATGCCGTCTCCTTCTTTTGCGAAGCAGTCATACTAGCTAAGGAGGAGGCGGGACGCGTGAGGCAGCGAAGCGCTGCCTCCTCGCAACCCAGCCATCGCGAAGGACACACCGGGCGTCGGGGATCGCGGGACGATCTCCGGCCACCGTAAGCGCGGGCCTGCGGACGGCGAGCATGGGTGGCTCCCCGTCCGACCAGAAACAGACCCGAGCGTACGGCGCCGAGCGTTCCGCGCGCGCTTCAAAGTGCCATCAGACCACCACAGATGGCGCCCTAATATTCTATAACTACCCCCAAATATTCTAAAATTGTAAATACCTATTTCTGATTGTAAACGCAACTATAAGACGACTAGAAGACATAAAAAAACTATAGATGTATTGGAAAATTATACGATAATGCTTTTAAGTAGGTTACATTTAACTTATAGTGGCAGCGAAAATTCTAGTGTACAGTCGTTATTTGTTTTAAAATGTGCATAAACACATGTTTTAGCTTCAAACAAAACAGTAGTTAAGTACGTGTAGCACGCCACAACATTATTTACAGCCGTGAGCAAGCAAGTCCATTAAACTTGTTCCGAAATCCCAGGAATGTAAATATTTACAACACGCGCTGGTGATTCAGATCAACACTACACACCATTAGCTTTATAGTTAACATTAGTTGAAAAAAACACATTTAAAAAGAAATAAATATAAAATTTGACTCACGCTCACCTGCCGATCAAAGTAATACTTCGCCCCAGCCAGGAAGACAGTAGCCAGTGCGAAGGAGACCAGCATGCCGAACTTGAGGTGCGGCGCCATCATGGGCGAGTGGTGGAGCCCTAGGGCTGCGGTGCGCAGTAACGTGTCGGGGGTGACGGAGCGGGCGGCCGCGAGACTCGCGATGGTCGGCTGCGGAGGCTCGGCTGGTATCTCCACGTACAAGCTCGGCTCGTCATTCTGCCGCCGCGTCGCGTGGACAGCCGGCATCGGTGGAGGCCTAAAGGATAACAAGTCTTGTTGATTACAATGTGAAGTGATAGTTGGCCACGCCATAACAAACGTTGCGTGAGGCACCCTCCAACTAAGTAGAGTAAATCTATGAAAAGACACTTTCTAGCTAAGTGGAGTGGATCTTCGAAAAGTGGTTGGCAATGGTTGAATGAACTAGTCGTGACATGAATCGACCACATGTGACGACATATCGTCCACGACTGTTCGGAGTCCTTCACCCATAGCTCCCAGACTAGGGGGCTGCAAGTTCTTCTATTTGTATTTCCTTGTAGACTATAGCTAGGGCCAACATACCCGGCATGTCGGTGCGAGCGGTGCGGGCGGCGCGGCGGGCAGTCGACGGCGGCGAAGCGGTGCACGGGCGCCGCCATGCCCTTGCGGCCCGCGCCCGCGCCCCCGCTCGCACACACGCGGCCCCGCGCGCGCCCTGCACACAACCGACATAAACCTTCGTACTGTACCAAAACAACCCTTATTACATTGATACAATTTAAAATAATTGTCCGATGAAACTGGATTTAACTAGGTTTTCCACACTTCAGTTTGTCTAAATAAAATATGTTTTTCATTAACATACCAGCTGAAAGGGAAGATGGAACACGATGGCGGCCGGTGTAGGCACACTGGCTGCGTTTGTCTATCCAAAAATGCATCGGTACGCCTCGGTGCACGCTGTTGGAGGAATGTCAGTGGCCGTACGATGCCCTCAGTGGGTGGAACATCGGACCATTGTATGGAGCTGCTGCAAATAACAATTCAGTTCATTCAGAAGGATCAAGTCACCCATTTTACTTTAGACTAAGTAAAACCTAGTAAGGTAACCTAGGTAAAACTAGGTAAAACCTAGTCCAAAGTAAAATGGGTCCTAGTTTTAAATAATTCTTCAATACTCTATGTAAAAAAATTTTTGTTTATGAAGTTGGGGCTTTTTACTAAAACTGCCAAGTGTAACAAACACTATTATGAAAACCGCATCAAATCGGTTTAGCCAGTCGCGAGATAATCGTGCACAAACATACATACACACATACAGGTCAAACAGACAGCCTGTTTTTTTTTTCTTTTTGAAGTCTGTTAAACAGATGGATAATGTGTTTTAATGTTCTTCTCATGTAGATAATACCGGACTAGATAATGTCAGGTAGATAGACTGCAATAAAGCCCATCTGCATTAGATGTACAGCACTTAATGCCACTGTACAATGTAATAGGGGGTGAGGCTATTGCCATATACCAATTACCGGGCACATTCCAGGCTCCATGTTACTAATGAAAATGTCTTAAACCTATGTTGCAGTCTATATTAAACTATTTATTTCGTACCTACTTATCATTGACTCTTTAATTTTGTTAGTAAAAATAATGTGTTTTTACTATTTTCAAAACATTAAATAGGTGTTATGATATGCAGGAAACTTTTGCTAATTTTTTACTTATTCAAACCATACACAATGTATTATTATTGTTCATTCAATTGAAGAATTCTGATATCTTGGGATTTTGTTTTGATATAAATTGTTGAACAAAAACCTATCCATCTAATAAGTGTGAGGCTAGTAAACTACATATTTCTAATGGTTACATTCTTCTAATGGTTACATTTTAACAGAAATTATTTAATTAAAATTGAAAATAATTAAGTACCTAGTTTGATATAGGTACAAATAAAATAGTGTTTATCATAACTGTATTGCAATACTCAGCTGTAATTCAGTTAAACACTATTTTAGTTATAAATATTGGTAGCAACCCTTTAACTTGCAGACAAAGGTCTGACCTGACCTGAAATGACCTAAATTCCTATATGTCACTGTGTCACACTTACCATTACAAAGTTTATTTTTTTCTTAGATTTACAGACACTTTTTCCAATGAGTAATATTACGATATATTTATTTCTTTTATTGTGCATTCCTGATTATAATACCTTTATCTAAAAATAATTAAAAAATCGCGATATTAGCGAAATATTTGTCTAAAGGTTAACCCGATTTAATCAGGGGTGGACGAAATTAATGTAAAAGTAAAATCATAGAAAAATAGCTTACCTTTCTATTTGTGTTTTGCACACAATTTATTATCGCCACAGGCTACGACCAGCTGAGAATTAATTATCTAATATTATACCTAATAATACACTCATTCATAACTATTTTCACTCCTATATTACACGGACTAGGCAATATAAAACCTGCTCACTCATTAAAAAATATATAAACTATCTAAATACATAGCTAATACACTTATACATAAACCTAGGGAGTAATAATCTTAAAATATAATAAAATATATCATCAATTCACTTTTGCACTTGACAGCCATTTGTGGGCGGGGTGCGCGCGTTTAGCAAAACAATCAGAACTACCAACCGCACAGTGTTTTTGCAATCAATACGGTGATACCTCCTATTTTGTCAAAGTATCATTGAGCTGATAACAATGTTGATAATTAATAGATAATGGAAGATGTTATGAAAATATTATGACATTAAATTAAATAAAAATCATTGAGCCTGAAAACCGACTTTATAAAAATCGCTGAAAATCAGTTTGTATATTACCGATTTGATCCATTTCCTAAAATAGAAATCCCCATTTCTGGTATTATGGTTATGTATATTGTAGGTATGTGTTTCACTTTTCTCATTATAAACAAATAATTTTGCCTTGAATTTCCCTCTGAAATAAAAGTAATTTCCGGAAACTTCTACATTGTTCGCTTCGTTCGGAAATTACATTTCCGTCAGACGTAATAATCTGCTTTTTTATAAAAAAAATGTTGTTCAATTATATCATTGACGCACTTTATTTCGTATGATAGTTTATTTGAGCATTTAAGTAGAACCTTCATACATTTTATTGTATCTTAACTTGAACAAGTAGGAACAAAGATTATATGATATTTTGTGTGTTTTGTAGTGGTTTTGTACGATTCTTGAACGACCAAAGTGTATAAATACCCCTCTTCCACCACCGAACTGTCAAAAATAATCAAATCAACTGACTGGTCGACGTGAAATAACAGCACTACACCTTTTTTGGACTGTATTATAGTTTTGTTGTGATTCTGAATTAAATGTGTAATTGCGCAAGATTCTAATTTCTACATGCAAAGTTGTGTATTGTGATAAATCATAGTGGATTCAAGATTTTTGTCAGTGAATCGTGACTTTATGAGGACAAAATGATATCAAGACTAATTCATAATGAGAGGACTGCGAGGAATGCGAAGCCCTATTGTCAGTGCTGGAACCAGAACAGACCTAGACTGTGGGAGAGCAGTGGAGGTTGTGCGTGTGGAGAGCATGCTGACAGTAAGTGTGAATGTACCAGACAAGTAAACACTGACTTGTAACTTACGATCACAATCATAACACTAATACTTGTTACCTTACGCACTCAGGTTCACTCATGTTTTTTTGCGAAAAAACACATTCAAAACGTTCCTTGAAATATTTGTCAACTGTGCTATAATTTTATTTCGTGGCTATAAGCTTACGTTACTAACAAGACTACAGCTGTGCTAACAAAACAAACATCTAGTACTCCATAATCTAAACTTTCAAAAATAAGGTAAAGAAATATTCTACAAGTTTTATAAGTCAATGTTTTGTTCAAAATAGCCATAATTTTGCATATAGGCAGATTTAGTAATATTTGAAATGTCCATGAAAATATCTGGTACATCCAATAGTGTACAAAATGAAAATATGCTCATTCCTTATACATAGGGCTGTTGTGTATACAGGGTGTAAACGGAACCCTCGTGAAATACGCCGACAGACAGGTGAGGTTTTTATAAAAGGAGACATTTCTTTTATGTAATAATATTTGTAATCATCCGCTTAAACTGTCAAACACCGAGCGGGCACCGGTGACTGCAACCTATTGTTCTTTAATTGTGTCTATAATGACGGTACTCAATGAGTTAAAGCTGATGTTGCATAAAAACATAAAAAAATTGTAAAAAAACGGTTTTAAAACCATTAAATTTACTCATCGAGTACCGTCATTATAGACACAATTATAGAACAATAGGTTGCGGTCACCGGTGACCGCTTGGTGTTTGACAGTTTAAAATTGTAGGAATTATTTTTTTGTCAGCATTTTTTGGGAGCTTTCTGTTTACACTCTGTTTTATTTACCATTATGTATATCCTTTCACTTTTATGACATAATCAAGGCGTAAATCTAGAATCTGGCCCATATCACTCACTTATTTGCTTTGTTAAATAATGCATGTCTTAAAAACTAAACAAAATTTTATTTCTATGCCTTTACATTCTTGGTGACATAAGTACTTGTTACTAACTAAAATATTATAATTGAAAAAATCATTGTCTAATTTAGTGCATTTAGTGTTTTCATTGTTCTATACAGATATCGATGTACCTTGTTGTTGCCATGTGAACAAATAAAAAGTTTCTTAGATAACTTAAAAAGTTAAAGTTCAAATGTTAATTGATTCTATATTGAATGATGCAAGTCTTGTTCATGATTACAGATACCATTAAATGTGATTTACTATTATCGGGTAAACACTTCTCTATCTTACGCTTTTAGTAATAGAGTTCAAGTTTGATCTGACTAGGAGTCAAATAAATACATAGTAGGAAAATACACTTTTACAATTACATTTTCTAAAGTACCTACTCATTTAATTACGGTCACTGCATTATTATACTTTATTCATGTTTAAATGTATTAAAGTGTGGTTTTCTGTTGATATGTTAGTCATTAAAACATGGAAGAAATAACCATTGTGTGATAAGACCGAACATTGTACGCATGTTTATTAAATTGTTACTTACCTAGGCTATTTAAATGAGTACAATAAAGCAAGCAAATATAAGTAAATAAAACATATTCTCTCTGGTAGTCATATTAATTATTTATTATTACACAATTTATCATCTTAACTAAACAATGAAGGTTAAAAATAGCACATCAACTGTACATTCTGTCACAGTCTCATTAGCCATTACGATTATCATTAATTAGGAATTTATTATAACATTGTAAATTATTAAGATAATATTTAACATTGTAACAAATATAGGAGTTTGGTAACCTTGATAGAAGTTTATCATGTCACGTAGAACCTTGAATTAATTATAAAAGATGATGCAATGAAGGTAAATCCTAAATGAAATGCTAGTTTCAAGCCTCTAATATAGCTTTAATAAGAGCCTCGAGCATGGCTTGAAAAAGTGGAGTTGTTGTCAATCAGTTACCTGAGTAAGCCAAACAAATAATAATTAATTTCATTCGTCTCAGGAAAGTTATAGTTAATATAAAGGAAGTAATTCCTGCCAATAACAGTGAGATAGGTGGTTATGTGGTAACAACAAATTTCATTTATCCTGTTCCTGTTTCATTAGAGTTTTTTAAAATATGTGTGTTGTTCTACTGGACCTCAGTTAACCAAACACAGATCTAGTTAAGTATAGGAAACATTCCATACTAAAAAAAGTAGATCTGCCCCTGACTTCCAGCCAATCCTTCAAATCATTGTAATTGTCACATCAATTTCACTGCCTTAGTTTCATTTTAAAAGAATTATTATAATTAATTTGAATCACCCCAGAATATTATAATAAATTGCCGATTCCGAACTGCAATCCTTGTTCCACTGTCTCAGGCAGTTCAGCAATGGACATAATCCGGCTGATGATGGTGATGGAACCTTATTTAACAATGCCTTTCAGTTAGTGAATGGAGATGGGAGATGCCAGAGAGTACAGGCACCAGTTGGGTGATGATGTGTCCGGATCAGAAGCAGGTGACCTTCCATCCGTTCTACAGTTCCGGCACCGCTGCTGTCAAGGGAGATACTCCGCTAGTCCGTGATTACCACTACTATTGGGAAATCAAGATGTTAACAGAGCCTTATGGAACTGATATTGTAAGTTTACACTTCTGTTTTTTTTTAGTAAATTTCACGCCAGCTAAAATATGGCTTTACAGGATTAGGTTCATTTCACTCAGGTTGCATATCCTTTGTTAATATAAATATCTATTTGAAAATTACAATCTTATCTTGTATCTGTAGACAGAAAATCCTAGGTAGACAGATCAGACAGTTATAAATTCTAACCGGCAAATGATAGAAGTACTACTATGAGAAATCTAAATCCTCACATTTATGTTTGCACTGAATATCAAAGGTACAGTCAACACCTACAGTAAAAAGAAACAGTATTTAGTCTTAAAGTAAAATTTCATCTTCAATAAACATATTTTTGAAACAACTAGAGTTGAAACAAGCCTATACGTAGTGTACCTGCTTACACTTTTAATCTAATTCACACGCTTACATACCATTTGTAATCATTCTAATAATTTTGAAAGCGAGCCAAGTGCGAAATAGTTAATTTTTCAAGAAATGAATACTAATTGCCCCAAAAACGATAAGCATTTTTTAAAAGGCTAGCAACGCACCTATGACTTCTCTGGTGTTGCAAGTGTCTATGGGCTGCGTTGATCGCTTACCATCAGGTGATCCATCTGCTTGTTTGCCTCCTATTCTATAAAAAAAAAGGAAAAGAAATACCTAGCTAATAGCTAACATTGTATGTAGTACGTATGTACAAGTACTAAGAACTAGGAGTAAATACTTCCCACGTTGGCAACGCGCCACAATGTCAATGTTGATCAACAAGTGGTCACAAATGTGGGTTGTACATAGAGATGGGTCGAGGGCAAAAACAAATATGGACAAAATGGGCATAAACTTGGCATATTGGGCATTAATGAGTTTACGCCCAAATAAATGCCCGATCACTGGGCATAAAAATGAATAACTATGTTTTGTAAAAAATAAAGCAGGAACTTAAAATAAAGCTTAATGTCAGTAGGTATTTTGTAAATTAAAATTTTAATCAAATATTCAGTCATAAGATAATCAGTCTTGTTAAAAAAGTCACAGTTGAAAATTCGAATACGTAATTTTAGAAAATATATTTTTAACACTCGTAAAATGAAAATGAAGTGAAGTTTCGTAATTGACTTTGATACGACAATAATCATAAGTAAGTAATATAGTATGTATGTTCTTACGCTGTAAGATTTCCGAATAAAATAAAATATTTGACAATTTTTACCAACATCATGGTCCTAAAATTTTGGATTTTTTATGTCTATTACTTAAACTAATAATAGGTAATGAAATCGCTTAATACAACGTAGATAGCTTCAGTCATCATCATCATCATCACCACTAAAGTTGATATTAGATGCAACATAACAAATTCTAGGTTTCGGTTTGTTGATGTGGATGTTGATGGGCGGGAATCAAAATCCTCAGGCGTATTGAATTGAATCGAGTTAGATTCATCTTGACTGTCATAATCATCGCTAAAAGAATCGTCGATTTCCGTATCAAAATCGTTAACATTGGACAATTCGGTACTTTTAGATGGATCATTATTTTTCTTTAAGTTCCAACTGTATGCCAAAGATGTGATTTGAGCTGCTCTTTCTGTAGTAAGGCGATTTCGTTTAGCACTGTGTAGGAAACCATGGATGCTAAACGAGCGTTCCATAGCCGCAGATGTGCAAGTTGCAGTCAAGATGCCACTTTACTTAGCGGCGAGGAACCAACAAATTCCTTTCCACCACAATACGGCATCTACCTTTTCTGTAGCTTTCCATATGAATTCTTATCCCCATAAACCATCTCTCGCTCTATATTGGGCAAGATCAACCGGACAATCTAAATTCAAAAAAACCGCTACGTTCTGTATAAACTCCATCGCTTCCATCTCTTAATGCTGAGTGAGTTCATGTCCTTCAGCTTTAGGGTCCAGCAATGTGCAGCGTAGTGTATGGGTTTGAGAACTTGTGTAGTTCTATGTTCTACTGCAGTCTTCAAACGTTCTATATCAGAAGTTTCCAGAATAGTTATCGAAGTGCAAGCAAATAACAATTTTGATAATATATTTTTGAAGGTCATAATAGAGGTATAAACTTTACTGATGTTATAATTATCACCCTCGAGTTCAAAGATCGCTTGGGTGATTGGTTCCATTATACTAAGACATTGTTCAACCATAGTCCAAAAACCATCGTCGAGAATCGTACTTTTGACGTCTGATGTAGGTTGGGTATATTTATGGACGGCGAGAATTTGAAGTGCTGCCTTATTGACTTTCAGACTTTTTAAAGCCGCCACATGACTCCCCCATCTAGTGTTACATGGTAATTTCAAGGTTCCACTATGAATTTCCTTGTCTTTCCGAATTTTTCTTAAAAGTGCGCTCAAAATTCGACTTTTTTAATGCACTTTATAACTTCTGTTGCAAGATCAATACAAGCTTGAATGACACTGACTTTCATGGCATCTGCGCATATTAAATTTAGGCTATGTGCTGCGCAATTTGGAGGCACTATCTACCGATATTTTCTTCCCAAAATTTCAAAAGCCCTTTGCAAATTTCTAGCATCGTCTCCGATCTCCGATTACAACGAAAGTTTTTTTCTCATCATAAATTTTAATAACATTTTCGATTTCTGTAGCCAAATATTCACTGGAGTGCAGATTATCTTCCGCTCTTGACGAATATGGTTTCTGGTTTACATATTAAAAAATTATAATTCCCTCATTTCTAACTTTACTCCATCCGTCACCACTGAACGTGAAAAAATGGTGATTTTGTTATGTTGTCAGATAATTCTTTATGCAATTCATTGTAAAGTTTTTCCAAATACTTTGTTGCAAGAGCCTTCTGAGTTGGTAGCTTAAAATTTAATTTTTCGAAAAAACTTTTCCAGGACCAATTTCTGGTTTATTGCGATATATTAGCTATAATCCAATATTTTTTAGTAAATTTACCTTTTCCGCACATTCAAATATAGCTATTAGAATGAAAAAAATTAAAAAGTTCTATTAGAGTTTTTGCCCAAGCAAAAGGCATTTATTGGGCATTTATGGGCATTTATGCGGCGTTTATTCAATGCGCCCAATATGCCAGGGCATTAACCCATCTCTAGTTGTACATCAAAACTTCAAAAGAATAGTTTTAAATAGAACACATGACCTTTTGGCTTCACTTCCTATGTTAATAAACAGTTCTTTATTATGTGTAGGTCCATTAAACTTATTTGTTTTTTTTAATCATGCAAACAATAGCCCATTGTTAGCGCCTTTAGAACCCCGTGATTTTCTTAACTACGTTTTAAATGAAGTAATATAGCTTAATCGGTTTAAAATTAGAAAGAAACAAAATAAGCTCTTTCTCCTATCAAACATTTCAACAATTACATGACAAAACTTCTACACTTTTCCACTAAATAAAACATGAACAACTGACCTAACCAATACCTTCTTTCAGATGGTAGGCCTGGGTACAAACAAAGTCAACATGGCGGATTCTCTATTCACATTCACATCGTTCCTGGGTCGGAACGGGGAGTCCTACGGGCTGTCGTACACCGGAGCCCTACGACACAACGCCTCCGTCACCAGGGATAACGTAGGCTTCTGCAAAGGCAGCATCATAGGCGTCAAAGTGGACCTCTGGCAGGGCACACTGGAGTTTTATATTAATAGAAAGTCGCAAGGTAAGTTTTAAAAAATACTTAGTTATTTATTATATATATATAATACTCAGAAAGCTTACAATCTAAAACTGGCATACAATCGACACCCACACAAAATCCAGAACAACACACAAACAGTGTCAGTAGTCAAATAGTCAGCAGAGGAGGAAGAACGAGATTTAAAATTCTGATTTAGTAGGGGGCAATTTATTTACTTATTTTATTCATCCATGTTCGCCCAACACAACAACAGGGCAAAGGCCTCCCTGTCCGCCTTCCACCCTTCTATATGTAAAACTTTTTGCGTCTCAATTCGTCCCGCCATCTCCTTTTGGGCCTGTCGCGACGTCCATAGGCTCCACTCAGTAGTAGTTTTGCCCACCGCTCGTCGGACATGCGGCAGACATGACCAGTCCAGTTCCACTTCAAGGCTGCGGCTTTATGACATGAGCATCGAGTCTATTTTCACCGGGTTTATCTCGAGAAGGAGAGACCTCCACAATATTTACTAGCTACACTCGCGCGGTTTCACACGCTCTACTCTGCTCCCTTTGATCGTAGCGTGATATTTAAACTATCCAATACAAAAATAATTATTCAAATCGGTCTAGGAGTTTCGGAGATTGGCGCGTTCAAACAAACAGACAAGCTATTTTGCTTAATTTATTAGTAATGGATTATTTATTTACAATCATGAATCAGCACCTATATTGTTGTAATACAGGATGTAGGACGTACGTACCTCCACGTAGGTACTCATTAGAGTCCATACATATTTGTTCTCAATAAAAATAACAAATACATATTGCATTTATATCAAAGTTTCTTTTTTCGTTTATAATAATGAACACTTAAATATTATCAACTTCTAAAAGCAACAAAAGCAAGAAAGAAACTTCTCACCGAATATTGTATCGCACAGTCAATGAATACGTTATGCTGTATTTTATTATGTATATAGCCACTATCTACTATTCGTCCTAGTTTATTAATTCAAACAATGTTTTGTCTGACTCGGCCAAACGGGAACCAACAACATCGACAAGGTGGTTGACCCTTTATCCCATCTTATTATTCAGACAGTGTCCAAGAAAAAAGGTCCGAACAAAACATATGTCACTTTACGATGTTGATACGATTGTTTGTTTACTTTTTGTGCAGTTTATCAGTCGCGTGATCCTTACTGATAATACTTATTAATCGGTCCATGTACTCAGTAATTCTGTAGGTCATGCTATCTTAATATTTAAGATTATATAGGGTTTGACAGCGACTTTGTTCGCCTTGCCCAAATAATTCATCACTTGCAACTTGCAAGTAACTTTAAACACATACGATACTTCAACATGTAGTGGGCGATAACTAGCATTTATTACAAGTAAAGCGACAAACTGTTTAGATACGCAGTAATAGCAGAAATCATTGTTTCATACGACAGCCATGTATACTACTAACTAGGCAACTTTAAGCTAGTTAGCGATAGGAAACCTTGATACCTTGGCACCTCATTAACCTATGGTATGCCGGAACGTAGATATACGCGAGACACAGTATTTTCTACTGTATCATATGCCGGCAGATAAGAGGTGAATGTAGTAGTCATTACCTACAGTCTGTAATAGATAGGTCCGTGGTCTATTACCTATTTAATATGAATCTGGTTACCACCTTAATTGCTGCATAAAACGGCTGAAGGTAAATCATTTGCTAACGTACGTACTTACATATCTGAGTGAACTAACCTGTGAACATTATTTTTTTAACCATTTTATATTAAACCCATCAGTATTGTTGTACTAACTACAGTACTCCGCCGCGAGCAGTTAACCCTAGTAGCACCGGACCATCCAAGACTGTTTACTAACCCCACCTAGTCGGAGAAGGCCAAAAGAGTGTCGTCTCGATATCAGCTGTAGCAAGCAATAATCCTTATGTGAATAGCACCTAACATAATCGTAGATATTTATCACGGCGTCACTATCATTACGTTTATCTCCAGAGCTCGGGTTCACGTAACGACTGCGTGCAAATCCTACTAGTCTGCTTTTTATTCCACGGTAATGCGGGAGAAGCTACTATGTAATAATATAACAAATTAAAATGACAGTTGTCGGAATACTGAAACGCTACTCAATTTTAAGTCGTGCTTAAGTATAGTTCTATCTCTACAAATTCTTTGTAAAATGACAGAGATGACACGATATTTGAGCACGACTTAAAATTGAGTAACGTTTCAGTATTCCGGCAAATCTCTATCAAATTGGTTTGCCAGTTTTGTTATTTGGAAACACGTTTCATTTTTCTTTTTAGGTGTATATCTGGTACTCTGATATAGTTAGATAATTAAATCTCGTTAAGGTGTCTTATACCTTAACATTTAATATCTGTTATTAAATATTTCGTAAATCTCTATAATGTGTTGTCAGAAAAATATTATAAAATTTTCTTTGAGAAAATTTATACCATTTTTCCTACAAACAATTATTCTTTGAGAATTTTAATATACCTAATTTAAATTAACCTATAATAGAATTTTAATAAACCTTTGAGAATTTCAATTTTAATATATGTATAATTATTCTTTGAGAAAATTTTTCTTTGAGAAAAATTTTTTTTGAGAAAATTTTATACGATTCTTTTCAAACACTCTTTGTCCGACTTCAAAAAAAGGAGGAGTTTCTCATTGTTTTGACATGTATGTTAGTGTCCTATTATCTCGCAATTGGCTGAACGTATTTCGATGTGGTTTCCAGAAAAGGGTTTCTTACACTTAGAAGGTTTTAGGATATTAATAAACCGACCTCAAAAAAGAGCGAGTGAAAGTCTATTATTTTTAAAGGTAGTTCATAATTTATATGGTTTAATTTCTTTGTTGTCCGTACGAACGTAACCGGTTAAGCTAATAATGTAACAGTTATCAGGCCTACGCATGGCACATGGGTACATGACCTCTACACATCTCCAAGTTAGTGCTATCAGCTGATAACGAGTGGCCAACCAGACTACAAACCCACTACAATTATGTTCACACGATAACAAATGTTTAACATCTTATTTATAACTAACTAGCTTTTACCCACGGCTTCGCTCGCGTCATAAAAGGAAAAGTAGCCTATGTGACATATACAATACACACAGCGCCATTTATACCAATAGTTTTGTTTTCCCTCGGGAATATCAAATTTTTCCGGGATAAAACGTACCCTATTGTTTAATCCGGACTTTAAACTTTACGTCTGCAAAATTTCAAAGCAATCGGTTTAGTAGTTACGGCGTGAAAGCGGAACAAACAAACAAACAAACTCACTTTCTGATTTATAATATTAGTAAGGATTAGTCGGTTAGGGACATGGATGCTGCATGTCAATTAGGAATTTAGACTTCATATACTGAAAATAAGTGTTGTACTTGTAATTTTATTGTAAACTGATGGATACTTATTGATTTCGGTCCTTGTAGAGAAAAAGAACTGTCTCGTTGGCCGAGTGGTCGCAAGTGCGACTACCAGGCAAAGGGTTTAATTCCCGGGTTGGGCAAAGCATTTCTGGAGTTTTTAAAAATTCTCAGTAGTAGCACGGAGTTTGGAATTGTGCCCGGTATACGGCAATAGGGTAGGATCCATCAGTTTTAAAATTACAAGTACAACACTTCCTTTAGTTTACATAACATTACGCCTTTAGTCCCCGAAGGGGTAAGCAGACGTGCACATTACGGCACTTAATACACACTGTACAATGTAACACCCATTTTCCACTATTTATGTTATGAGTCCCATGTAATAGGGGGTGAGCCTATTGTCACATATCGGGCACAATTCCAGAATCCGTACTTAACTGAGATTTTTTTTAAAAACCCAGTAAGACTTTGCCCGACCCAGGAATTGAACCCGAGCGAGACCCCTAGCTCGGCAGTCGCACTTGCGACCAATCGGCCAACGAGGCAAACTTAAAAGAAAACTGAATTGTTTACTACTACAACCATATACCTAATGAATAATAAATGAATTTCTTATCAATCGATCACCTTGTTATTATTAGCATTGACCGATTGTATTATATTTTATAATTACAATATGTTTACTGTCTGGCCAACTTGATAGCTGAAATAGTGTCAATTGTAAAGTCTAAGTCGAATCTAGAGTAACGTCTTTGACCTGGTCTGGGTTTTATAGATTACTATGCCTAATTAGGTTACTATATTGTTGTTCTAGTATTCGCAACTAGAGGTTGAGACGTGTACCGAAATACACGGTTTGTCTTAGTAGCACCTTATATTTTTTACTATCTGTCATTAAAGTTCTTTTTGGCTAATTACCGTCTTTTTATTGAGGGGATTTTTGAGGGGGGGAAATCATCCAATGACTTCTCCCGCCCGGGTGAGAGGCGGGAGGGCGTGCCAGACTCTTACTGACTAAAAACCACCCCGCTCCTGCACTTCGAGCCGGAGCCCCGGCAACCCGTTAAGTCTTCCGCGGCTCCGTATCGGCATCAGCCCTGTTAGGCCCCATCTGTGGTGGTCTGATGGCTCCTTGAGGCGCGCGCGGAACGCAACGCGCCGTACGCTCGGGCCTGGTTCTGGTCGGGCGTTGAGCTGGAGCCCTGGCAACCCGTTAGGCCTTCCGCGGCTCCGCATCAGACATCAGCCCTACTGGACCCCGTCTGGTCTGATGACTCTTTGAGGTGCGCGCGGAACGCCACTATATTAACATTCAGTTTTACCGATACCTCTTTATTTAACGGTTGGTCAGCTCAAAGACGTTTTCGTCATAAAAACTTTAATTACTCGTATGATTCTCCGAAATCGTATGAAACATTATTGCCACCCCTCATACGATTGCATTAAATTGTATGTATTATATGGTTATAATTTACTAACAATCTCCTCACATTTTCAGGCATATCATTCTACAACCTCCGTCGGCATCAGGCTCTATACCCCATGATTTGTTCGACGGCGGCGCAGTCCTCAATGCGGCTGATTTACGCGGCGTCCTGGCAGGCCTCCCTGCTTGTGGACGCTGCCAAAATCCTGGCCGCATCAGTCAACGGAGAGAAGTCGCTGTTCCTACCTCCAGGGCTGAAGCATACGTTAAAGTCACAGTTCTGGCTGACACTGCCTAATCATAGTGAGTATGGACTTCTAATGTTTGATTGGTTTCTGTTTAAGAACATGAAAGTGCCTAAATTTTGTAGGGTATGCGCATGCGCAAGAAAGTGCTACACATTCGGTTTCTGTATGGACGTAATGCGGTATTAATACCTCACGGGATAAACCGGTAAACAAAGAGACTGATCACCTGATGGTAAGCAATCGCGCATGGAGTCCCGAAACACCAGAGGCGTTATAAGTGTGCTGTCGGCCTTTTGGGGGTCCGAGGATAGAGGAGTGGTAGTGGGTAATTGGACCTAAATTTCCTGTCAGTACTCAAGTCCCAAAAACGCACGATTAGAAAATAAAATAATTCCTTACTATTTTAATTAACATTACGTAATAAACTGTATGTTATCTGTATCATACGTCAGATCATATCTGCATACTGCAACAATATCAGACTTATGACTTACGTAATATTATTATCTAGAATCTAGATCTTATCCTATTTAAACTTGCAAGTATAAAAATCTACATAGTTTGCCTACCTATACTATTTTCCTTATTAATTGTATGGTACTTTGTATTTTAGTGACTGGAATTACCCTTTTATGGCAATAGGTCTAGTCACATAGAATTATAGAACTATATAAAACAAGTGATAGGTAACTACCGATAATACGTGGGTACGACTTACATCTGTTCCGGAAATAATACCATGATACAAAGCTGCATTAATTGCAGAAATGTACTATAATATTAGGTACTAGTAGTATTAATTAATGCGCAAATGCATTTATCCGTTATCCGTATTAGCTGTGGCAGTTTTAAAAATAATTTAATGATTCATTTATGACTACCTCCTTTGTTTAATGGTCGTAAGTACGACTGCTGAGCAAGGAGGCCCCTGGCAGCTTGTAAAGGCAAACGCTGTAGTAAAATGAAGTAGTAGCTTACGATACTACTTCTGTATATCTAGACATATAATGACAAATAATCTAAAATGCATTTCTGTTCGTTAGTCTCGCTAAAACTCGAGAACGGCTGAACTGATTCGATGTTGAAATATTCGTGGAAGGAAAAATAAATTAAGGCGTTACGAAGTTAGCCAGAACGGGTTAGCTAGTACTGTATAAAACTTCTGTACAAACACACGAATAAATATTTACTTAGATAGATAAGCGGACATTAAAAAAACATTAAAATCCTAACCAAATACTTTTTCTTTATTATCACAATCTTCAAACGTTTAACCTACATTTGAACCTAGACAAAGCAAACGCGAATCATTAAAAACAAACGGGATAGGCACATGAGTAGGACAGTGGAGATACCAAGAATTGAAATAGTACATATCAGCATTTTATTTAGCCCAAATATTGTGACGGTCTGACGGGGCGGCGTGCACGCGGAAAGTCACTGAGACAAAAAATTGTTGTCACTACTAATGACCTCTTGGTAACTTTGATTAATAGGTATTTTATTTCGGTTGCTACATGCTTTTTTGTTGTTTTTGTTTATTCAGTTGATAGAAATCAACGTCACTTGGATCTGGTATTGTGGTGTACTTAGGCTACGGTCACCGCTTATCATCAGGAGGAACTTTTGAAGCTAGATTCTTCAAACTTTGTTTTTATAGTACCTAACTATAGTGAGACACCCTAAATTAACTAAAAATCGCGAGTTACTCACGTGAATATACTGGGAAAGCCTACTGGACAACAGTAGGCTGCGCGACATCGCCGCGACCACGCACGCTGCTCATGAGGAAGAACTCCGCTGTGGTTCGAAACTAGTAGAGCTTTTCTTAGTTTCTTCACGCGATTTTTAACTGTAAACTTTACCTAAATATCTGATTAAAATCATTTTTCTTTTTTATACCCTCTACTGGAACGTCTAGATCTAGAAGTATGTTCTTAACTTTCCCAATTTTTTATTTATTTTACCATTCTTGTTTACTCGAATAACGAGTGGAAAAAAATGTGTGAAAATATTCTCTGACCTCTGATAACCGATACTTTATTCATGCAACTTCAGACATTTTGTTTATCCGTGTTTGTGACTTATAAATAACTTCAGCGAAAATTATTTAAAAATATCCGGGAGGTACAAGGTTGAAAAACAATAGGGACGTGTCAATCAATTTAATTAATATTTTTTTATGTTATCTTAGCATATGTTTGGGAGTAATCTGTTGTTTATTCTTTATTTATTCTAGATCGACGTTCTGACTTCAATAATACATATGTATTTATGTAGATACTTACGTATCTAAGTCTGACGTGTATACATAACTGCATTTATTTATACATATTAAGTAGAAAACATTAAGTCATGTTATATATGAATTGAATCCCATCAGTATCCAATTGACAAACTTTTCGAAATACTGGAAAGTCAACTATGTAGGTACTTATATTAGTATTTTACTCAATCCGGCAAACGCCACACTACTTGTCCAGCACTCCACGGCTACTCGAACTGTCTATATAACTAGTTGCAATTTTTTTCAGAATGTATCCTAGACGTAGACGAAGAAACACCTGAATTGAGTCCATCATCTCCAAGCAAGCCTGACTCGAGTATGGTAAGTTATCTATTTTACTGATGGAATGCACTTCTCAGAAAGAGAATCGATTTACTTGTAGATTAATTCTAAGAGGATGTCCGAATTCATACAAATATGTATGTAATACAATATTTAGGTAGACATGTATGATGAATATTGACGAAACATTTTAAATGGTTCGATTTTTTGATGAGAAGTGTAACTTAAATAATGGAGGAATATAATGTATATATTATTGTATATAATGTATTGTTTTTAATGGATGATTTCACATACCTAAAGCATGTACTATAATCTTTATAATTACTTGAAAATATTGTAGTACAAAATAGACTCTATCTGTCTTGGGGGTAAAGTTCACTTTACATTGATATTGTTACTCGAATACTAACAATGCATTTCTTACTTATCCTTATTATGGTAATATGAAAAACAGTTATTATTTAAAACATTATTCTATCTCGTTTTAACACTTGATAGAATGTAGCTTTGTCTCTATCTAATCGAATATGTGCCAGAAGTAAATTTACTATAAATAGGTAAAGATATTAAAATGTATATAATTTATAAGCTATGGCATATTTTATATGGGATTAAATTGCTTTTATATATTTGGTGTTGCATGTATGGTATTGGTATCGAATCTTGTTCGGGTGGGCATTTTGAAAATATACTTCTAAAGTTATAATATATAATATTAACATTATGATAATATTATTATACTTAAGTATTAAAACAAAGCCTTGTATTTATGTATGTTATTGTTAGATATAGACAAACATTATTTATAATACTTTATATTAAAAATAAAGGAGTTATTGCGATTTGTAATTATCTCGAATTATGTCCTTAAAGGGGTTAATAATGGATATTCTTGATATCCTTTGTACTATTCTTTTCCTTATACAAGGTTTTTAAATAGAGTAAATATATAATTTTCACTTATTATCAAAATGAATTCAAAAGATGTATTTAACATACAGATTATTTTAAATTCTCATTTATCCTATTGTTTTTATTTTGCATTTTTTTATTTTTTATCGGCAAGTTTTAGTTTAAAAGTAACAGGTTTGCCCTGGATTCCTAGTTAACCTATTTAGTATAGTATATCAATACATAGTATAAAACAAAGTCGCTTTCGCTGTATGTCCGTATGTATGCTTAGATCTTTAAAACTACGCAACGGATTTTGATGCGGTTTTTTTTAATAGATAGAGTGATCCTTAAGGAAGGTTTGTATGTATAATACATGCATATTGCACCCGTGCGAAGCCGGGGCGGGTCGCTAGTGAATTATAAAATTGATGCATGTCGACGAGTGGTTTGTTCTCTGTCATATTTTAATGTCATTGTCATTTTAATTTTTTTTGTTGCATGTAATCTAAGTTTTTTCGGAGCTCAAAACGAAAGGGACGTAATGATATATGATCTTTACGAATTCAAAGTATAAGATTGGATGAAACCAGCATTTACAATCATTAACATTAAAATCAAGTTGTATGGTGGGGGCACCACAGTGCATGATACTTGAAGTTGGGTGGAATTTTAACCCAATGTGTTATAATGACGCCAATTAGTTTTAACCAGTGTCATTGTGGTAATATTTGTACTTTATATATGCACCAAGTTGTCTCCTTACAACTGAATACTGAAAGGCTACTCAACTTTAAGTTGTACTTAAATATCGTGCCATCTCTGTCATTTTACAAAGAATTTTTAGTGACAGAACTATACTTAAGCGCGACTAAAATTGAGTACCGTTTGAGTATTTGGATTCATAATTTAATTTTGTCTTCTTACTTTTGATGGTCTTCCCCAGTCTCTATCATCCGGCTTGAAGAGAAAACATTGGCATAGAAGATGGTAGAGCATAGCCGACCGGCATTACGTCATAATCATGACGTCACTTACCCTCCATGGCGGGAATGTGCCATGCCAGTACGAATTTGAATAAGGAATTATTGTGATGAATGTTTTTTTTTATTTGATCTGACTTTTCTCTATGCTTTTTATATTTAATTTGTTTTGAGTTCTATATTTAAAAAGTTGAATTGTATATATTTTTGGATGTATTCTATTTATGAAAGTCTGTACTTATTCCTTCTTAAGTCTTTGCACAACTTTTTATTTCTTAAGTCTGCATTTTTGTCAATTCCGATAGTTTTTGTAATAATTATGGTTAGCAGCAATGCTGTATAAATACTCAAATACATGTTATAAAACTTAGTATTTTGACTAGCCTATAGAAATATAAATATTGTACTACTTATGTGTTGCAAGTCGGAAATATTTAGCCCATGTTCAACTATTTTATATTACTAATATTTTTATCACAAAAAGATTTGGTCCAAAAGATTGTACAAATACAGGGGTTTTAAACTACCATGTAAGAATGAAAAAGGCTTTTTTAAATATATGTATAGAGAGAATTATTTTTCCATTTATTTGTAATTTGCATTTTGTTTTAAAATGTGAGTGTGTTTAAGTTAAGTAGATGTATGTAAATTTTTTGAAAAGACTGTAAATACCTATATTGCCATAATTAAATATTTGATTTTATATGACAATTTTACTTTAACACCTACCTAGTCTTAATTGTACAACTATGTACATAAAATACTCACCATTGTTTTATACTTTTAAATTAACGGATATACATGCCTATACGATGACAAAATTCATATAAAAATCATATTAGCATTTTGGAAAAACAATGTAAAACATAGACAAATGTTTTTCAATATTTTTTCATCATTAAAAATTATTATACATATGAGACAACTTTATAAAGTTGAAATCTTGTGAGTTCCAAAGATCCCTAGTACCAATAGACAATACAGTATTCATTGGTGATACAAGGCTTTGTTTTTTATTTAAAACATTTTTCATTTTGACTTCTTACATAATGTATAGTCACAGGATGTAATCTTATATTAAAATATTTTATTATGTTCGTCACTGTGCACAAGCTATTGAATAATTTATAGCGGGTTCGATTCCCACATATGTACAGCGGCCTGCAATTCAGCCTACTCTAAGATGTCAAATTTATCCATTGGATTTTGGACTTTATGTCAATGCATTATAAAGTTGGAGATGTAGTTAGAGTAAAGAATAGGTTAACTTGCTGGCTACCGTATATCAAAATTGATGATGATCCATAAATGTATAGATTACGCATAATAATTAAGAAAGGTAATCTACTGTAAAGTCATATGAATTATAAAACAATAATATTATATTATTTTCCAGCTAAGCGAGTTTTTCTCGAGTCCTTTCATGAATGGCTACTACGTGGATAATGTTGAACGAGACTACAGAATAGTCGTGTGGGAATAATTTCAATTCTACATGAAAAACATTTACAGACAAATCCTTCGACCATTAGTTCTTTTCCGATCTATGGCCAAATTAATAATATTTTGCAAGTGTTTTACAATGGGTGTATGTGGTAGGATTCTATGGTATTATTTTATCTGTATTCAAATTAAAGTGTAGGAAGGTATTGTATATTTAATAGGATACGGTTATATTAATATAATCCCACAGATTATATTACAAGGGATACAGTGGTCATGAAAGCTGAAGTTTTGCCACCAGGCACATTTTTAAAATTATGGGGGCCGCCGTTTTATAGATGATGCTAATGTGACATCAGATCTGTTTGTCTAATCACAATAGGTATCAAAATGAGGACTAGCTAATTCTCTAATGGACGAATCTGATGAACTGATTACGTGAGGTCAAAATTAGCGCAATCTGGTTAGTGAAAATACGTATAATAATAAATATTTACCAAACAATTAAAGGTAAAGATGTGAAACCGCCCTTGACCGTGTCCCTTAGTGGTACCTAGATGTACGCAATATTATTTTATTGTTATTTAAAATTTTAATACCTACATAGTATTTTTGATGTTAATTCTATTATAAACTTATAGATTTTATATTAAAAGTTCTCTTATTCCAGAATATGTGTACAATGTCTAATGTAGGCATTAGGTAAGTACTTACCTGCTGAACTCCATGAACTGTTCTTATTATGTAGCTTCAAAAAACATGTTTTCTACTTACATCTGCTCATGTAGCTCATTAGTGAAACATAAGTTTCTTTATTCTTTATTCTGTAATTTTCTTTGCTGTACATACGAGTAATACAAGTAGGTACTTACCATGTGCTACGCTCAACAATTATTTGAAGTAAGTAATATCACTACTTTTTCTTCTCATGGCATATTATGGAGAATTTAATGAATTAAATACTCTAAATACGAGTACAAATTGTTTGCAAATATCTATGAAATGCTCCAATATAAATATAAGTAAGTACATACCATATTTTAAGAACATTTTCCAGTGTTAAATTATACTAGTATTAAATGAAATAGAAAAGCTAGTACTTAATAAAAAAGATATTTGAAATAAGTAAATTTCTGTAATCAATATATACAAAAAGTTAAAATGTGTTTTACAATCTATTTAATAAGGGATAGTTAATTTTCTCTTGTGAATAATATATTAGAAATAAAATTTAATGTTGTTTTATTTAAACATAAACAATAATCAGTGGGTAAGTAGTCGAAGTAGTTCTATAAATACGGGTGCTTTCTCTTTATTTTCCATCCACATAAAATAATGATTCTTTTTAGTAGTGCAGTTTTACTAACGAGAGCTATCTATAAATGATTTTCGAACTGACTGGTAAACGTCAACAATGAACGTTGTCAGCTACCTTGACACTGACAGCCTATCAGCCTAATAGTTGACAGTTCCGACTCGAACGAGGATCGAAACGGTACTGTGCTGCTAAATTGTGAATTTATTCAAAAAATAATTTATTACGTGAATATATCTACTTTTGTGCTAGTTCATAACAATTACCGGTCTTTTTACAGATACCCCGTAAAGTTGTTAGTGCAAATTCTAATAAAAATCTTATTAGAACCTCAAGACATCGTTGATTTCTTTTTGTGATACGAAGATACGCTACGTCGACAGTAAAATGGTGTACCAAGTGAGTATTGGATTGATATAATTCGTTATTTCCTGGTAATGGTGGGCGTAGGGCGGGTCCCGGTGACATCAGAATACGAAATAGGGCACGAACAGGGTAGGACGAGCGACCTTGACCCAACCAACTAGTAAACAACCTCCCGAAATAAAATATCGAGCCTTATTAGGGATAGTTTGTCATTTTGGGCTAATAGACTCTTATATTTTATTTGTTGTTTCATTAATAATGGCATATACAAATGAATTTTTATTTTGAGAATAACATACATCCAGCCTACTGCCTAAGTACAGCCTATTTGCTTAAAAAGTATCATAATTATGTCATAAACCAGTTTACGAGCCTGACTTTAAAACTTGAGTTTGAAGAAACTGGTTAAAGCCTTGAACTGTGTACTAACAATTAACAAAACACTCATTTTCAAGATTAATTTAACTCGTTAAGTACCGTCATTATAGACACAATTATAGAACAATAGGTTGCGGTCACCGGTGACCGCTTGGTGTTTGATAGTTTAAACTTTTACTCATTGTATTTAGCTAAAATTTAAATTATTGTATTTTTAATTTGATAACTGAACCAATAACAAGTGTGTTCTACATTGTGTTTGCATACTGCCTACATTTGCATAATCCTTAAGAAATTAAAAATGTTGTTTAATTTTTTAAACTCCATGCACAATGCGTATAGACGAATAGAATAGCAAATAGTTTCTCAAAATCCTCTAATAAAATCAATTAAAAATCTTTAACTTGTAACTGCAACTACATGAAACTTATATGAAGGTGTTGGTATTCCATTCATGCAGTGGAATGCATTGGCTCTGGCCTTATAGTAAGTCAGTCTGTAGTAGTTGAATATTAATGACCCTAGCATATGAATCATTTTATGACTGGTCTGGCCACATACTGGTTTAAGTAGTCTTACTCATTCAGAAATTACCATTCATTAATGTAATTGTTTGTTACTACATACCATGATCAATAGATTTATGAAATTGGTACAGTGGTTTAGTAAACTCAGAAAAGTATAAGTTCTTATGTTCTGAATAAATACTAAACCCTAATTATAACTACCTATTACATATATAAAAAGTCTTACATGTGACTGATTTCTAATTAAAATTGACCTAAGACACAAAATGCAATTCTGTAAAATGAGATTTCTGTTACACTACTGCTAGGCATGTTGTTTATGGCAGACGGTTTTTTTCGTTTATCTTCGGCCTCACAGAAAACCGGCTTGAAACAACGCGTTGTGTTTCGCAGTGTGAATGATCTCCAAGCCCCCTCCTAAAGGCCGGCAAGAAACCGCCCACAGAGCGATTTTTTTTTATGCCATAAGCCGGTAAACGAGCTGACGGATCACCTGATGGTAAGCCCATGGACACCTGGAACACCAGAGGCGGTACAAGTGCGTTACCGGCCTTTTGGGGATGAGGAGTTTTTGAGGATCGTTGGGAATTCAGGGATTGGGAAGATTGGGGAAGGGGAGGGTAATTGGGCCTCCGGTAACCTCACTCACACGACGAAACACAATGCAAGCGTTGCTTCACGTCGGTTTTCTATGAGGCCGTGGTATCACTCCGGTCGAGCCGGCCCATTCGTGCCGAAGCATGGCTCTCCCACACTTAGCTAGACTAGCCGCCCTTATCCATAAAAAAATACATTTCCTTAATTTTATTTTGTTTAGCGTGAACCGACTGTGGTGGGAGTGCCCAACTTCAATGCGACCGAGGATGCGGCCGCCCTAAGAGCCGCCATGAAAGGTTTCGGCACAGACGAGCAGGCGATCATTGACATCTTGACCACACGCTCCAATGCCCAGCGACAAGCCATCGCTAAGGCATTCACTCACGAATATGGCAGGGTAAGTCACCAACAACATTATTTTAACATATTGATATTTTTAATGTCTACAACTGTGTACATATTTTCATTTGTTCGTTATTTGGAAGTTCCAGTATCAGTATGACAACCAAATATGGCCAAAAATAAGTATTTGTATTGGTAGATAAGATTTGATGTAGGTTTTTAGATCAAATAACAGGTCTGTTTCGTTCACCACTGACTAATCATGCTCTCAATCTTAATACAATAGTTTGTCGACTGTGTTTTGAGGGCTAAGTACGAGTTTTTTACGTTTAACGAGATTGAAACGAGACCACGTTCGACGCTCTGATTGGTCCATTGGAGCCCGCAAAAGCTCGTACTCAGCTCTCAGAACTCGTAAAGAAAGTACCTACGTAACTACGGATATGAAAGTAATAGAAGCTATAGATAGGTTATGACTACACAGATGGCGCGGTAGTTGGGCAACTGACTGCCGCGCAACGTGTCGCGGGTTCGATTCCCACACGGAACAACGCTTTGTGTGATCCACAGATTGTTGTTCTGGGTCTGGGTGTCATGTGTATGCGAACTTGTATGTTTCTAACTTTCTTAACGCACCCACGACTCAGGAGAAAATCGGTAGTGCGGGGCAATGTGTTTGAAAAAAAAAACAATAAATATTGATATAGATTACTAGCACAATAACTTTAAAATCAATATTTGTGAACACGAACGGTTCGTACTCCGCTTACACGACATCGTTGAAAATAATAATACCTCGACTATCTATGTATATCTAAATCTAGTATTCTATTCTATTATAACTTCGAAGAAATTGCTGCGGCAATATGTTACTCATTACACTCAATCACTGCTAAATATATCAGAACACTCACTATGCTAATAGATAGTGAAGCGTACCGCTCTACGCAGTTTAGCAAAGATAATAATAATAATTGATAGAAAACTATACTTGAGAGCAAAGAAACGTAGCCACGAGTGGTTTTTTCTTTTTCATTTCTTGATAAATATTTTATGATACCAGTATTTTATTAATTGGTAACGTATGCTGTACAAAATTTAGTTATGTACTTACCTTTAATTTTCTTTTTAAAAGATAAAAAAATAGCCAGAGGTGTTTTTTGCTCCCAAGTGTAGTTCATCTCTGCGATCTGTACACACCTGACCTGCTATTGATGAGTCTCAATGAAATCTATCCATAAAAATCGATACCCTTTCAAAGCAAAATTAACTGTAGACTAAAGAATTAACGTACTTATCTCCAGTTAGACTTTGATCATATCTGTGATTAATTATGAAATGACAAGATAAAGCCGTGGCGTGAGAACCGACGAGATTTAATGAGTCATAGCTTTAAAATACGAGGGTGGAAGACCTTCCTTGACTATCAACTACTTGTTTTTACCCGTATTTCTACAGAACTGTTCAGACCTATATTAAATGTGATATAGGTGACGATGATGGTCCCTGATTGAGCTGCGGACGACCTTACAGGTTACCGGAACTCCAGCTCCAAGTAGGAGTAGGAAGGGGGTGGTTTTTAGTCAGTAAAAGTCCAACACTCGCCCACTTCATCGAAAGCGAGAAAAATCAGAGGATAAAAAAAATTCCACCATTAACGTTTAATATTATGAATCCCTAAATAATGCGATCCTATTCAGATGTCATGTTTATTATTCAAAATTTACCATTATTGAAAAAATATAAGCATGTAGTAGTTATCTATTCCGACTCTAAAATGACCTATTAGGTACATCATTATATATTGCCATACCTTGATATTGATAGCTTCGTGCGCTCGATACAATATCAAGGGCATAGCGCCATGGACGACATGAACTCATACCACAGTCACGGAAACACGTAAACTAATCATAAGTTTTCGCGTTTTTGTGTGTTTCTAATTAAGTACCATGGTTCCTACTCCATTATACTTGTATGTATGGACTTAGTATGCCATGAGATCTTCTCAAGGTCTCCAAGAAAATAATGAGGTATTTGTTCTCAGCGTACTATTTGTCTAGTGGTTAAGAATGATTAGCATAGAAAAACATACTTTTAGGAATTGAATCTGTCAGATAATAAATGTTTCATACGCCGAATGATCTCAAACGCAACTGATGATCTCGATTCTTAAAGCGAGAGCACGATTGTTCAGATATTTAATTCTATTTCGATATTCATGAAACTTCATACGAGTTTAGTTAAACTAACAGATTAACACAACTTGATATGACACTGACTTCGAATATTTGTCCACCTAGGACATCATTGAAGACCTAAAGTCTGAGTTAGGCGGTCATTTCGAAGATGTTATTGTTGCCCTGATGATGCCCCCTGAAGAGTACCTGTGCAAGGAGCTGCACAAGTGCATGGAGGGCATGGGCACGGATGAAGACACCCTCGTCGAGATCCTCTGCACCAGGACCAAGCCCGAGATTGCTGCTATCGTGCAGGCTTATGAAAGGAGTATGTATATTTTTTTATCATCACTATCACTTATATAATAAATGTTGGTAACTAGACGTGAATATTGAGGAAGGCAATACACAAAATCCGTTATTTTCATCACTCCATCGCTATTAAGGCCAGGGGTCATCCCTCTGTTATATATTTAAAAACCAAGTGATATTTTAATGGAAATTATTATTCAATACACCCACTAATTTTCTTAACTTTGTATTTGTAATAAGACAATGTTTGATGGTTTCAACAGTGTACGACCGTCCCCTGGCCGAGCACATGTGCTCAGAGACCTCCGGTGACTTCCGACGTCTGCTGACCCTCATTGTCACTGTAAGTCTTATGTTATAGTTTACATTTCTTAACATCATGGATGTATACTTTGATACATGACATGGGGAATCACTGCACATAATAAAGGTGATGCACTTGTAACTTCTCTGGTGTTGCGGGTGTCTATGGCCGGCGCTGATTGCTTACCATCAGGTAAGCCGTCTGCTCGTTTGTCCTATTCCATTATAAATAAAGGATCCACAAATTGTTGTTTCGAATTTGTGTGTAAAACACTATTATGCACACACATCACACACATAATGTGTAAAATTATTGTGCTGTCTGGGTGTGGTACCTACGACACAAGCTAAAATTGCCGTGAAGGGCTAATGGTTCAGTCATTTACAGTAAGTATTGTTTGTCTGGGAATGTTATTAATAATTAAAACAATATTTCTAATTTATGAAACTCTACTCTATTCTTAATTTTTTAGTAATGAATTAGTTGTAGCTTTAGCGGTATTTTCTTTTGCACATTAATGCTTTTAATAGGTAAAGGAACATAGAATTAATGCGCTTATACTATTATTATATTTTATGCATTCACTCTGCAATTCCATCTAAAACAAATTAAAGTTCGTCACCAACAAGTCAACGTACGTGGATAATTTACTTAAATACATTTCTTGTTAATTAAAAGAAAGTTAATTCGCAGACGAATATAAAATTACAATGTCTGATTGCCTTAAGTTCTACTGTACCTACTTTATGTATTTCTATGATTTCATGTCTTTTATTAGTAGAAATGAAATTAGTTTTGAAATAGAAGATCGGGCAGTTGACATCCGCCACATAGATAGATCTTTAGCAAAGTCTATAATGTAAAATAAGTACATAGGTATATATTTTTTGCAAAAGCGAATCCCCTCTTCACATTTTTCTCTTTCTATTATCCATAGCTATAGGTACAGTGGTCTGCAGGTCAACCTATCCTTTTTCTGTCAAAATTCTTTATTACATTTTCAACTCTATCATTTAGGTGTATAAAGTCGAAAATCCAATGTCAAATATTGACACATTGGTGTAGATTGATGTGCTGGCCACTGTACAAGCCCTCGCTACAAGCACCATTAATTTTCCTTTCTACCTTCGCTTTCGCTACAGTTACAGTAACCTTGGAGTGGCGTGATCAGTTTGTACCGCATTTTGTTTGATTCATGTTTGATTGATTATTTACACAAATTGATTGTTTTTGTATAATAATGTAAAGTTAATGTGTTCTTGCATGTGGTTTTCAAGGTGAAAATTGTAGATGTATTTTAGTTTGACTTTTTGGAATCCACATATTTTAAAATAATATTGTAGATAGTTGTAACTCTTTTTCTTGTAATTATAATTTGTATAGCACAATTTTAATATTTTAATACTTTAAAGGCTTTTCTTCAACAGAATTTAGTTTAAGACTGGTTGCAATGTCTAGTTATGACATAGTAATGTCCAGGTACGTTCAAATAGCAAGTAATATTATTATGAAAGGAAATTCTATAAGGGTTTGCTGTAAGCGAACCTTTCTGTGGTCTGTTGTTGAATTCATATTCACTGCAACAATACGTGTTCTAATTTAAACCTATTATTGCGATAGTTTGCTATTATTTGATAAATAATTATTATCCTATTTGTGTCATTGCATTGTGTCTGTAGGAAAAACTCAGATTTAATTCTAATTCTGTAATGTAATTTTGTTACAATGTTACCTACAATAAAGTAAATGTTACTCGTAACAATAGAGAAATGAATAGCAAGTCTATAAAAGTCGTATTATTTAGAATTTGGAAACAACAGATTACACTTTCATTTAATCGTATATTCTTGGTTATAATAAGAAGACTGAGATGAATG